CTGCTCCACTGCTGGTGGGGAGTGTAGACTGGTGCAACCACTGTGGAAATCAGTATGGAGATACCTCAAAGAGCTAGGACTGGAAATCCCAGTTGACCCAGCTATTCCCCTGTTGGGTATCTTCCCCAAAGAATTAAAAGAATCATACCACAGTGATATATGTGCACCCCTCTTCATAGCAGCACAATTTGTAATAGGTAAAAGTTGGAAACAGCCCAAATGCCCATAAACTGGAGACTGGATAAAGAAAATGTGGGTTTTTTTATAAAATGGAGTACTACTCAGCCATAAAAAATGAGGATTTATAGCTAAATGGATGCACATTGAGACATTACTCTTAAGTGAAATAAATAGGACACATGCCTGTAAATACCGAATAGTTTCTCTAGTGTGAGAAACTGAGAGTGTAAATAAGGACTAAAATGTATAATGGATAGTGTGAAATGGAAAGAAAAGGGGCAAAGGGGAAGGGGAAGTGGGAAGGGTAGGGGAAAGGAAAGAAGGGAATGGAATTAATATGAGAAAATGAAAATATGGAAACAAAGTCTTTATAAACATGGAGGAGTGGAGGGATTAAAGGGAGGGCAGGGGAATGGGGAAAAAATAAGAATCAAGAGGAGTTATGTAAAGGTGCAAATTTCCAATGATGAATATCATTATAATGTATACCTAAAATGTACCAATAAAATAAAAATTTTTTAGAAACCAACAAATGGGTTTACATCAAATTAGAAGCTCCTGCACAGCAAAGGAAACAATCAACAGTGTGAAAAGATAACCTACAAAACGGGAAAAAAGTTTTGGCAGTTACTCTTTGGATAGAGGACAAATATCTAGAATGTATAAAGAATTTTTTTAAAACTTAACCCTCATAAAACAAATGATCCAGTCAAAAACTGGAGATAGGAAGGGGTCCTGGGGATGGGAGGAGACAGGAGTGTGGGAAGGAGAAGTGAAAGTAAAAATGATTAAAATATGATATGTGAATATATCAGTTCCCCAAGATAAAAGCAAATATTATGAACAAAGCAAATATGGACAAATAAACTGAATAGATGCTTCACAAAAGAAGAATGCAAGACTAGCAAGTACATGAAAACAGTGTCCAACATATTTAGCCCTTAGGGAAATGCAAATCAAAACAACTCTGAAATTCCATCTTATACCAATAAGAATGTGTATTGTCAAGAATAAAAAAAAGCAACAAGTGCTGGCAAGGATGTGGAGGAAAAGGAACCCTTCTATATTGTTGGTGGGAATGTAGAGTAGGAACAACTACTATGGAAATCAATGTGGAGATTCCTCAAAAAACTAAAAAAGGAATTCCATTGGACCCAGCTATACCTTTCCTGAGTATAGTCCTGAAAGAGTTAAAGATGTCATATGTATGCTGTAGTGATACATGCATAACCATGTTTATAGTAGCACAGTTCACAGTAGCTAAGCCTACCCCTTAATTTGTCATGCGGTATTTTTGTACCTCTTTAACCACAGCAATATTTTCTTTCTTTGAACTAGCATATTTCTAGAAAAGTTGACTGTGTCTGTTGTATCATCCAATTTACAATTAATCATATACTGCTTTGTATAGGTACTTAATTTTCTGATTATTAGATTAAAAATTTTTATACCAACCCCTTTCCACAACACCTATCAAAGTGTTGAGAATGCAGTAAGTGCCCAATAAGTGTTTGTTAAATAAAAACCTAAATGTGTTGAGTGCAAAGGGCCAAGTGCCTAGTGTGACTTTAGAATTCTTTGGTTTTGTTTTAGTTTGGCTGTGACTGTTATTTGTGCCTTTGGACTTGTCTCTTAACTAGCTGAGCCTCACTGATAAATTGAGATAATCTTACCAATTCTACAGAGGTCACAGATTATGATAAATATCAAATGAGAAATCATACATGCAAGGATTTTATGGACTCTTAAAGGTAAGCTATTAGGGTTTCTCTTTTAATTTCTTTTATAAAACATTTTCCTTCTTACTTTTAGACTTGCAACTTTATTTCTTGAAAGAGGACCCAACCGGATAGGTGGTATTTACAAAAAGGCTGTTTACAGACACTTCACAGATGGGACCTATACCACCGAGATCGCCAAACCTCCCTGGCTTGGATTCCTTGGCCCCATCCTGAGGGCTGAAGTGGGTGATGTGATTGTCATTCATTTAAAGAACTTTGCATCCAGATCTTACTCATTGCATCCACATGGTGTTTTCTACAACAAAGATTCAGAAGGTAAATATCAATCCTATATGATCGGAGTCTTGTCTTTATTTCATAAGTAAGGTAATTATACTTAACAGTTAAAAGGATTCTGAGCACAGTGATTACATTACATTTTCATTTGTCTTCTCCCTCTGTTCTTCTCTTCTCATTTCCATTTATCTGCTCTCCCTTCTCTTTCTGTTCTTCCTTTTTACTTTCCTTCCTTCCTTCTTTCTTGCTTTTCTTTACAATGGCACAGAACTTGGCACTGATTGATCTTGGCATATGCTCCACTGTGCCTCCAGAAGTGTATGAGTATTTGTCCATAGACTTAGCTATGCCTGGGAAGCACATGGGATGAGGGGAAGTTTGCTCCTGTCACCAGTCACAGCCTTGGCTGTGGGTGGTTTTCTCAATACATGAACCTCATTGGCCTCCCAGGCTGCTGTCCCTGGTGCTTCCTTTGTGAAGCAGACCTGTCTTCTTGTGTCTACTTCAAGATAGTTTCAATAGGGCAATTTCTGGAATCTTCTCTAGTTAAAGAAAATAAATAATTCTTAGACTCTTGAAATAGAAGTATTAATTCTCAGACAGCAGAAGTATTTTTGCATCTGTGCTAATCAGCTATCCATCACACACACACACACACACACACACAACCACACACACTCAAGATAAAGCAACTTATAAAGAGAAAAAAAATTTATTTTGGCTCATGGTTGTCAAGATTTCAGTCCATGATCAATTGACCCTATTGGAGCACATCATGGTGGGGAGCATTTGGTAGAGCAAAATCGCTCAACTCACAGCCAGGAATCAAATAGACAAGAGGAGGGAGACCTGTCCCCAGTATGCTCTTCCAAGACATTCCAGTGCCTGAAGACCTGATACTAAGCCTCACCGCTTGAAGCTCCTCCACTTCTCTGTAGCACCACTCTGGGGAATAAGCCTTTAACATTTAGAGAACATTTCAGACCCATACTGTAGCAGCACCCCTTGTTGTATGTAGCCTTGCTCCAGGTGGAATGGGTTGAATGATGCTACACCTGTTAGGTGACTGCACCTGGAAGTGTGTCAGACATAGCAACATTAACTCTGATGTAACCCACCTTATCATCAAAGAGGAGCTTCTGGGTGGGTATTAACTACTGTCCCAAGGTAGCCAAACTTGCCTGGCAGTTTCCTCCGCCAGGTCCATGTAAGCAGCCAAAGGAAAGACCTCTAATGATGAATGTGACACTGGGATTGCTCTTTGCTCTCAGTAGTTCTTAGTTGTTGAGGATGATCACATGAAATCATGCCAGGTAAAAAGAAGGAAAAGTTTTGTAAATATTAGGGATGATTTTGATGGCTTTTCTTTAATATAGTTTTGCAAAAGCATTTCTTATGCTGCATATAAAAATAAACATGTCAAGATAACTACACCTGTCTTTTTAAATATAAAGAAAATAGAAATATCCTAAAATCTTTTACGTTCTGTCTTCATAACTCTGTATTTCTGAAAGCATACCTTAATAAGTGTGATGATGTCCAGAAAATCATCTAGTACAAAGCCACAGATCTGTTTTTTTTTAAATTTTGTTTAAAATATACATAATATTAAATTTACCATTTTAACAATTTTTCAAGCGTATAACTCAGTGGCAATAAGTATATTTACAATGTTGTTCAACCATTACTAGTATCTATTTGTAGAATGATTTCATCATCACAAACAGAAACTCTGTTTCTATTAAACAGGTTCAATTCCTTCCTCCTCCACCAAGCCACTGGTAACCTCTGTTTTGTTTTTCTGTCCAGAACTCTTCTAGGAACCTCATATGAGTGGAATCACACAGTATTTATCTTTTTCTGTCTGGCTTATTTCTCTCAACATACTATTTTCAAGGTTTATCCCCATTGTGTCAGAATTTCATCCCTTTTTAAGAAAAAAATATTCCATTGTATTCAGATGCCACATTTTGTTCATCCATTCATCTGTTGATGTATACTTGGGTTGTTTCCACCTTCTTGACTACTGTGGGTAAAGGTACCGTAAACACTGGTGTGCCACAAATCCTTGAGAGCGTCTGTGAAAGCCATGAGCCCTTGCATCAGAAAAATATGAGTGTGCACAAAATTCTGAAGTCAATTTTAAAGTATTCTTAGAGCCCCTGAAACCATCCCTGTATCCTTAAATTAAGAACACTTTAAATGTCCCTCATCCAGGAAGGCTTCTTTGGTCCTGTCTTATGTAAGTTTCTTCCATGTTAGTGGCCTTTGGTTTATCTCATAGCCCTTTCAAAACTGATATAGTAAAATAGACCTTTTCTTTTTGCTTCCTTGTTTGTTTTGTCTGTACATTGGGCTATAGATTTCCCAGGAGCAGGGACCATCCTGGGTTGTGCTGGCCTGAGTGCCTGGCTCAAACCTTGGCATGTACTGAGTGCTCTCTCAGTACTTTGAGTAGTTTGCAGATCTAGCTCAACACCATCATTTTATAAGAAATCGAAATACAGAGAGGAAAAGTGCCCGGGAAAAATTCTTCTAGCTAGTTAGGGGCCAAATTATCACACAAAGAAATGACTGTCAACCATTCTCGCTCTCCCCAGAGCTATCCCCATCACTCCCCACTGTTCTTGTCATCCCCTTTCTGTTCATGAATATCAAGTAGGCTACTATGAGGCCTTGACTCTTAACCTTCCTGGGTCTGCCCAAGGGACTCTTGTTAAAATCCAGGGGAATATCCAGGCCTTGCTTCATGTAATATAGGGGTCAGGTATTCTATCCAAGCAACAAGAAAGCTAATCAGTGCAACCAAGTTTCTTTTTACTTCTGATTGTATTTAGAGTGTGTCCCCAGTGCCTGGTGTGATGTGTGCTTAATATATATCTATTAAACAAAATAATGAATGTGTGGTATTACCTTATACCATCTCTGTCAAAAGCCCTAAGAATAAAATGCATGGTTTGGAAGCCTCTCAATTTTTATATGGAAAGGCTTCAGGTGGTGCATGTGTGTAGGTAGGTAGTGGACTTCTCTTAAAGCTTCAGTTATTTTCAGCACTTATTTTGCTTTGCTATATGCAAGTCAAACAAGGAAATGTTTTATTTGGCTCACAGCTTCAGAGGTTTCAGTCCCTCATGACCTGGCTCCAAGGCAGGAACATCATGGTGGAAGGGTGCAGTGGAGCAAAGCTGCTCAGTTCATGGAGGCCGGGAAGCAGGGCACAGGGGAAGAGTGGCAGTGAGAGAATTACCTTCCGAAGGCATGACCTAGCTCCACCTGGCCCCTCCTGCTAACAGTACATTCAGCTGTGAAAATCACTCATTTCATCCACTGTTAAGTATAGCACACCCATGATCCCATCACCTCCCAGACTCTTTATCCAGTCAAGTTGACAACAAAGCTTAACTATTACAATTGTACTTGCTTTCGTGGAACTTATAGTCTAATATGAGAGATGGAAAATAATAAAAAATATACATATACAGTATGAATGTAATATATATATACTATGTTATTAAAAATATAAGTAAGTGCTATGGATAAATACCAGCCAATGTTTATCAAATGGTTACCATATACCAGGCATTGTAATAAGAGTTTTATAAATATTAACAACTCTATGAGATACATATTATAATTATTATCACCTTACAGATGAGACTCATAGAAAAGAAGGAAATTTCCAGGTCACAGCTAATAACTGATAGAGAAAGGATCTGATTCTAGAATTTCAGAAACTATGAACTTAACCATCAGCCCTGCTGGCCTTCTTTCTGTGTAAACACATTTTTTAAAACTGACCTAGTTCAGCTTAGGATTGCTTGAGTCAGACCACGCTGGATCTTGGAATTAATGTTAAGTATATTTGACTTTCACCACAATACTGATGGAAAGTCATGCCATGATTCTGAGAAGGGAACAGTATATGTAATCAGATGTGAGGTGTGACAAGGTCATTCTTACTATAGCTTGCCAAATGGATCAGAGAGGCAAGAGCTTCAGGGAGGCCAGAAAGAAGGTAACGCAGAAGCCTAGGGGAGAGTTTATGGCAGTTTGGATGAGAGTTGTGATGGAGGGGAAAGATATACATAGATGAGTTTGAGAAGAAGCAGGGCCTTGTGGTTGGTTGGAAATAGGAAAAGAAAAGAAAAAAGATACGAATGTTTCCTTTAGCCTGATGTGGTGGTACACATCTGTATTCCCAGCACTTGGGAGGCTGAGGCAGAAGGATTGCAGTGAGTTTAGGCCAGCCTGGACTACACAGTGAGTTGAAGGCCAGTCTAAACTACATAGTGAGACCCTGTTTCCAAAAAAAAACAACAAAAGTGCAAGAATGCTTCCTTTGTTTCTGGCTTTTGGAGTTGGATATCCAGGTGCTTTTCACTGAGACAGGAGGCAGTGGCTAAGGATTAGGTTTGGCATATAAGAGCTAATGCTCCCCAGGAAAGGTTGTGTTTGAGATCCTTTGAGATTTGTAAGTGGAGATGTCAAGTGGACAGGTACCAGTGAAAAGCTCAGAGGTGAAGTTCAGGCTGGAGATAAAAGAGGAAGTCATTGGTATGTGGTTAATTGGTGGCACTGTGGATGGGTGACATCAATCAGGGAGGGAACACACTGGGCATCAAAGGAAGGAGCCAGCATTATGCCTGAAGGTTTCTCACAGTGAATGGCAGACAGAGAATGAGTTGGAAAGTGGCCTAAAGAAGAGTGGCCAAGAGGACAATGTAATGTCACAGGACTCAAGGGAAGAACATTGTTTAAGGAGGAAAGGAGCTGACAGTGACATCAAACACTGCCAAGGCACCAGGTAACACAAGAAGTCTTTTTAAAATATCATTTGGATTCAATGGATGTGGAGATTACCTCTCTGGATTTCTCCGGTATTTTATTCCTCTATTTACCTCAATCGTCAAGTTAAAAAAACACCAAACTATAGTAGTTTAGTTTAACTTTTAGCAAAAATTGTTTCATCAAAAATGCCATACATTCTCAATCAAATTGAGAGATAATATAAGAAATTATTTTTAAAATAGTGTTTTTGTCTTTTGGAAACTTTTGTGTGTGTGTACTGGAGACTGAACACAGGACCTTCACACTGAGCTACTCCCCAGCCCCTCCCCCCCTCATTCTTTAGTTTGAGACATGGTCTTGCTAAGTTGCTAAGATGCCCAGGCTGGGCTCAAACTTGTGATCCTTCTGCTTCAGCCTCCTGAGTGTTGGGATTACAAGGTGTGCACCAACATGCCCAACTTGTAAGCCATTCTTGAAAACATTAAGACACAGTTCATTACGCTACTCCGTAATTCATACATAACAATTTTCTTGAAGATTCTCTCAGAATTTAGTACTAGTAGAAAGTTCCTGTCCTAAAGAGCTGTTAAATTTTCTTTTATTGGAGAATGAAACAATATAACTGAATTATTTAACCTAATAAATAAATCAATTCTAACCATATAACCAGAAATTCAGAGCTTCACTTAATATGGAAAAGATGCAAATAACTTAATATTTCCTGTTTTCTCTGTTTTAAATTTTGTTTTCTGACTTTATCTGTATCATGTAGTATCAAATAGTGTTTAGGTTTAATTTATAAAATTATTCATATTTTTAGAATAAAAGTAATTAAAAGTTAATATGTAAAAGAAAGTGAAAGATAATATGTAAAGAATAACAAAGTAAAAAATAGTCCATTTATTATATTCTCAGTGATTTTCATGGGAAGTGTCACAAATAGATTTAAATCTGGCTCAGCCATATGCTGGAAGTTTTTGTTTTTTGTTTTTTGGTTTTTTTGGTATTGGGGATCGAACTCGGGTCCTTGTGCTTGCAAGGCAGGCAGCGGAATCACTGAGCTAAATCCCCGGCCCTGGCAGTTTTAATATCATACAAGTGGATATTAATATTTACCACATGGGGTTGCCTTGAAGAGTAAATGTGATAATATATTCAGAATGCCCACTACACGTGGCTCATAATAGGGGCTTAACTGTTGTTTCATTCTGGCATCCATCTCTCAGAAACAAAGTATGTATTCATGATAGAATTTATAAAAAAGACCGATAACAGGAAGTTGGAGCTTTCTCAAAGGGGAAGGGGATCAAAAGATGGAGGGAAGGGAAAGGGGACTGAGAAAAGGAATTGAGATATACTATGCACATGTACCAATTCCTTACAATGAATGTAAACTGTATGTATTAAAAAGGTATTATTAGATTTTTGTTCACACTTTTTCTTGAGCTTGCCTCAGCTACCTGGTGCTTGCTGTGTTATTTGAATTTTTTTCTAATGCCTAGCACATTCATTAGCATGTGGTTTACATCCAATTTTCATCTTGTTGAATAAATGAATGGCAACTGGGTGAGCAAATGAATGGTGCATCCAGGTCCATCTCCTTCTCTGTCCTTCACCCTCCAGCCTTCTTTTCAGTAACTGTACAGCTTCTATCAGTCCTTCAAGGGCCCTCAAATACCACCTGAAGTATCTGATGTCTATAACATGCACAGATTGATGACCTGCCTACAACCCAGTTAGTTTTCACACTATTTTTAGCAGTGGAGTTCCTTTACTTGTGCAGTCTTATTTTATAAAACAGATCAAGGGGCTGCTCTGTCAACTTGTTCTCCCCACTCTGTGATACATCCTCTAGCTTGCATGGTACAGGTCTCCTCTGATACACCATAAGTATTTGACTTAAAATTACATTCCACACATCACACTACTTTATTTTCCAGTTGTCCTGTGTGTTCACAATGCATATTCTAGTTTGTGTCACAGAACTATAAGGGCAGCAGAAAGAATGTCTTACCTTTCCTTCCTATCTCTCATGAGACCCATACAGTGTTGAGTCTGTGACAATCCCCAAGCCGTGTTCATTATTTCTTCTGTTGCTTCTCCTTTCCTTCTTGAATCCATGTTCAATAAGGTAAATGGAAATCTTCCTGATTGGTTCAGTAGGTCTGTCAGAAATTGTTTATTATGAACATTTATTAAATTCCTGTTTCTGTGCAAAGCACTCTGAATACATTGCCTTATTTACTTCTCATATACCTGTGGGGTAGCTATCAATATTCCAGTTTCACTGATGGAAAACAAAGGCATTGATAATTGAAGTAACTTGCCTCATGTCCCATAGCAAATGTATTTTAATTCAGTTATATTTGATTCCAAAACCCTTGCCCTCTATGCAATAGAATAGGATCTCTGTGTTTTAACTGTGTTTTATCTTTTCTTGGAAGGAGCTTTATATCCAGATGGAACATCTGGAAGAAACAAGGATGATGACATGGTTCCTCCTGGCAAAAACTACACCTACGTCTGGCCAGTGAGAGAAGAATATGCACCTGCTCCTGCAGATTCCAACTGCCTGACCTGGGTGTATCATTCACACATTGATGCCCCTAAGGACATCTGCTCTGGGCTCATTGGCCCCCTGCTGGTGTGTAAGGAAGGTGAGGAGCCTTCCCACCCGCAAGAAGTTGATTCCCAAGTAACCTGTTTGTTGGAAGTTTGTTTCACTTACTTCCTTTACTTTGCACCAGATATGCTTCTTCTAAACTTAAATTATGGGCAATTCTACTAACAAGAAAAACCAATCTAACACAATAGCAAAGGGTAATAATTCACATTATATTTAAGGATCAGCATATACTGAAACATATACTTTTATTTAAAAAGAAAATTAGAGCTGCAGATGTAACTCAGTGAAAGAGTACTTGCCTAGCATGCAAAAGGCCTTGGGTTCAATCCTCAGCACTGCCAAAATAAGAAGAAAAAAAAGGAAAAAAATTTCACATATAAGAAAGTGTCAGCTAAATGTCTAAGGATATCCTTGGCTTTGTTATTCCATTTAGCTAGTGTGCTATTTTATTCCCTATTAACAGACTTGTAATTTGTCAGTAGGATAGCCAGGTTTCCAAGTTTGCAGTTGTGAAGATTTTTGTCGTGACTTTCCTATAATTCTGTCATTTCCATCAAAGCCCTTCTGCTACTTTATATTGTAAGTTGTGTGTTATCTTTGTCTTCAACAAACCTCAAGCCTCCCTGATACCATTGGCAGGAAGGAAAGCTCACTTTGATTTAGTTCACTTTGAACTTCTTTCTCTGCTCTCTTGGATGTGCCTGATAGGTGTCCTGAATAGATATTCAGGGACAAGGACTGATGTGGATCAAGAGTTTGTTATAATGTTCACTCTCGTGGATGAGAATCAAAGTTGGTACCTTGATGAAAATATCAGACGTTTCTGCACTGACCCAGATTCAGTTGACAAAGATGATGCTGTTTTCCAGAGGAGCAACAAAATGCATGGTGAGTATCTCTCATGTTCTCAAATACACACCAGTGCCCTTTGTTCCATGAGATACTACAGGTAGACACATGATACATGGAAATGTTGAAGCTGGTCTAGCAAGATATGTAACTTAATGATGGCAATGGTATGAAAATAATATGAGACACAATGCATGTTGGAAGATCAACAGTCTGAGAGAGGATAAGGCCATGGCTGCAAGTTAAATTGGATATGAAAAATGGAAAAGGTCATGGTACAGAAAATAGAGGGGTCAGTGTTTCAATCAGTGAAGAATCCATGGCTGAAGTGAGCCCATAGGATGAGTGTGTTTAGATTAACAGGAAGGAGAATAAAATCATCACCACATACAAATAATAATCCTGTGTTTTGCCAGGAATGATGACACAAACCTGAAACCTCAGCTCTCTGGAGACTGAGGTAGTAGAAAAGCAAGTCTAAGCCCAGTCTAGTTAACTTAGTCTCAGAATAAAAAAATAAAGGATTGGGGATGTAGCTCAGTGCGAAGGCACTGGTTTCAGTCACTTCTGGAAAAAAGAAAAAGAAAAGCCAATGTTTTGCAACCTTTTATCCAGTAACTGTTTTCTTAGTGGCTGCTTAATTTTTAAGGATTATGCTATACACAGGTTTTTTTTAAATAAAAAAGTCTATGTTACTTTATATTGTTTTTATTAGTACATATTTGCAGTATAGTATAATGTTCACATTCCTTGCGTGGTGTTGGTAAATGTAACTACCACATCTTATTCTTTTTTCATCCCCTTTTCTTCTCCTCTTTCCCCATTCCCTTCATCTCTTGATCTTCTTTGCATTTGAGAAAGACCTATCATCCTACTTCCTATTATCTTTTATTTTGCTCTTTCTTTATAATCTGGGTTTCCTGCATAAAAGAAAGCATGTGTTATTTCAGCTTGTGTGTCTGATTTATCTCACTTAACATTATGGTCTCAAGGTCCATTCATTTTCTTACAAATGACTCAAATTTATCTTTCTTTATGGCGGAGTAGTACGCTGTTGTGTATAAATAGAGTACCATATTTTCTTTCTCTATTCATCTTTTTTTTTTTTTTTTTTTTTGGTTTTTTGAGGCAGGGTCTCCCTTTGTAGTTCAGGCTGGCCCTGTACTCACTATGTAGCCCAGGCTGGCCTCGAACTCACAGTGATTCTCCTACCTCAGATGGTCATTTAGGCTGCTTCCAAGATGTAGCTATTATGCATTGTAATGCTATAAACATTGGTATACATTTAGCATTGTAATATGTCTTTCACTCTTTCACAAGACACATAGAAGGGGAATACCTGGGTCAAATGGAACTTCTACTTTTAGTTTTTCAAGAAATTTCCATACTCATTTCTATAGTAGGTGTACTAATTTATATTCCCACCAACAATGTAAAAGGGTTCCTTTTTTCCCCCGCAGCCTTGTCAGCATTTGTTATTATTTGATTTTTTGATCATGGCCATTCTTTCTGGGATAAGATAAAATCTCAGTGTTGTTTTAATTTGCATTTCTCTAGTGGCCAGTGATGTTGAGCACTTCTTCATGTATTTATTGGCTGTAATTCTTTTTCTGAAAAGTGTCTATTCAATTCCTTGACCATTTTTTGATTGGGTCTTTTATTTTGGGGGTTCTATTTTTTTTTAGTTCTTTATATATTCTAGATATAAGTCCTCAGTCTGAAGAATAGCTGACAAAAATTTTTCCCATTTTGTAAGTTTTCTTTTCACCCTGTTGATTGTTGGATTTGCTGTGTAAAAGCCTTTTAATTTGCTATGATACTGTTTGTTGATTCTTGGTACTATTTCCTATACAACCAAGATTCTGTTCAGAAAGTCCTTACCTACGCCTGTGACTTCAAATGTTTTACCTATTCTGTCTTCCAGCAGATTGTTTGTTTTGACATTTAGTTCTTTGATCCATTTTAATTTTGATTTAGTACATGGTGAGAGACATGGGTCTATATTCAATCTTCTGCATGTGGATAGCAGTTTTCCCAACACCATTTATTAAAGAGGCTATCTTTCCTCCAGTTTATGTTTTGTTTGGTTGGTTAGTTTAGTTTTGTTTTTTTGAGACAGAGTCTTGCTATGCAGTTCAGGCCAGCCTTGAACTCACTATGTAGCCTAATCTGGCCTCAAATTTGAGGCAATCCTCCTGCCTCAGTCTCTTGAGTGCTGGGATTATAGGTGTGAGCCACCACACCCAGCTCCCTGCATGTTTTTGGCCCCTTTGTCAAAGAATAAATAGTTAAAGATGCTTGGAGTAGTTTCCACATCCTGTATTCTGTTCCATTGATCTTTATGTCTGTTTTTGTGCCAGTACCACACTGTTTTTATCCCTGTATATTTGTAATATAATTTCAAATCTGGAATTGTAATGCCTCTTGCTTTGCTTTTGTTACCCGAGATTGCTTTTGATAGTCTATGTCTTTTCTTGCTCCATATGAATTTGAGGATTGTTTTCTCCAGTTCTGTGAAGAATGCTGTTGATATTTTGATTGTGATTGCATTACATCTTGCATATAAATTTTGGAACTATAGCCATTTTGACTATATTGGTTCTGCCTATCCAGAAACGGGATATATTTCAATTTTCTAATGTCCCTTTCAATTTCCTATTTCAGACTAATATAGTTTTATTGTAGAGGTCTTTCATTTATGGTTAGGTTAATTCCTAAGTATTTCATTTTTCTTGATGCTATAGTGAATGATATTTTTTCCATAATTTCTTTCTTAGTGAGTTCATTGTTAGTGTATAGGAATGTTATTGATTTTGTGTGTTGATTTTGCATCCTGCTACATTGTTGAATTTGGTTATTAATTCTAAGCATCTTTTGGTAGATTTGGGGGGCTCTTCTATGTAGAGGATCATGTCATCTGCAAATAATGATAAGTTGATGTCTTCTTTTCCTACAAATACACCTTTTATTTCTCTTTCTTCCTTTTTCTTTCTTTCTTTCTCTTTCTTTCTTCCTTTTTCTCTTTCTTTCTTTCTCTTTCTCTCTCTCTTTCTTTCTTTCTTTCACAAGAGATTGAACTCTGGACCTTGTGCTTGCAAGGCAGGCGCAGGCCACCGAGCTAAATCCCTGGCTCCTTTTGTTTCTTTTTCTTGAAAATGTTTGAAGTACTATGTTGAATAGGAGTGATGATAGTAGGTATTCTTGTCTTATTTCTGATTTTTTTCTTTTTTTAAAATGATTTTGCTTTTATTTGCATAACTTATATGCAGTATTGTAATGTATAACAGAACAAAACTACAGTACTGTGCTGTACTGATTTTCATTTTTATCAGGTGCTCTTCTCTCATAAAAGATCAACACAAAGCTTTTAATTTCCTTGTAGGGAAATTTTTACAAAGAGCTAGAACTACATGAAAACATTAGAACCAGTGATCTGCCCTGATTTTCCAGCTGTGCTGGAGTACACATTACCATGAACATTTCTGGTCATACTTGCTTCTGCAGAGGCATCTCTTCCATTGCTGTTTCTTTTTTTTAGCTCTCAATGGATACCTGTTTGGAAACTTTCCTGAGCCTGAAATGTGTGTTGGTGAATCTGTGTCCTGGCACCTATTTGGAATGGGGAATGAGATAGACATCCATTCCATCTATTTTTATGGTAATACCTTCATCAGCAGAGGACATCGGACTGATGTTGTCAACCTGTTCCCAGCCACCTTTCTCACAGCAGAAATGATGGTTGAGAATCCTGGGAAATGGATGATAACCTGCCAAGTCAGTGACCACCTACAAGGTAAAGAGGTCATAGCCCTGTGTGGAGATGCTTAAAATGGCACTCTTAAACCCTACAGCCACTGGTTCTCATCCAATACTTGCTGTTAAGTAGACTCTTACAAGTATTATTTTTACTTAAATATTAAATATACGGGAACATAAAATGCTCATTTATTTGGCATCCTATCAACAGATATTTACTAATCATGTCCCTAAGAAGAAAAGGAAAAATGAGATTTTGAAGAACCTATGATCTGTACTTAGACATAAATATTTATAAATGTGAAGCAGATAAAGACAGATACTCTTTGGATGCTCTTGTCACTATTCTAGAGCAACAGAGGGACTTCCTGAGACTAGATCCAGAGATGAGACTTAAAATATGGGTAGGAACTAGATATATTAAGAAAGGCTGAGTTCAGTGGTGCATACCTATAATCCTAGCTACTAGGCAGGCTGAGGCAGAAGAATTCCAAGTTCAAGATCAGCCTGACAACTCAGCAAGACCCTATCTCAAAATAAAAGTAAAAACTAAACAAAGGATATACCTTAATGTTAGAGCACCCTTGACTTTGGCCCCCAGTACTGCAAAGAAAAGAAAAAAAGTTTCCAGGTAGAGGTAGAAGCATGAATTGGGAAAAGCACATGTACTTTCAGTGACTGTAGATAAAATAATAAGGACTTTTTAGATAATTCAGACCAGTTCTCCTATTCAGTTCTTTAATTTCCTTTTGAATATCTCAAGCAATTGTAGCAGCTCAACTCATATATCAATTGCTCTATCAGAATATTCTTTCTTATATCAAGGCAAAATCCATTGTCCTATAGCATTTTTCATGGCCTATGACAGTTGCATGATAAGCATTTGTTGACTAAAATGCCTGTTGAATGACTTGGTCCTGGTTCCTTGGGACAACATAGAATAAGTCCTTAATTAGTTGGATCATATAGTTTATGCCAGAGGAGTGAGGAGAGAGCAGCCGAAGGATGCAGATTGGGCCTATATGGGAGGACCTTTGAATGTCCAGGCTAAGGAGCTGAGAGTGTGTCTGGGAAAGCCACTGTGAGTCCTTCTAGAGCCTCAGGCACACTATTGACATACTGTAGTCAATCAGTAGTGTGGGAAGGTTACCATGACAGATGTGTGTAGGAAGGATGCTATAGGGAAATTCTGGCCACTCGTTGCCAGTTAACAAGAGTTGGCAGCATTAGAGACACATACATAGAGAGTCTGGCCTAAGATGGTAAGAACAACAAGAGAAAACATGTTGTCAATGAGATGGATACAGAAGAAATAATTTCTGACTAAATTTTGATAGTAATAATTATACACACTCACTAATAGGTACAGTAGTCCAACTGTTTAGAACAGTTTGATAATACATTCTTGTTCCCATCAACCTTATACGACTCATCTTAGCATCAGTCAGCTGGGTTATTCCAATTAAATTCAATTCAAGAGTTGATCCATTAATATGTCGTAGTCTGAGAAGACAAGAATGATCAAGATGAAATTCCTATTTTTAAGAATTTCATGCTGTTAAATCTGGGAAGAAATTCTTTGACCTAAAAATTCTAAATCTAGATGGAAAATCAAGAAAATAGCAGCCATTTGAGACTACTAGAATTGCCAAATTTGGCCAGTAGATATGGACATAAGCTGATGTTTATGTGTTCACTGATATATATTTCCTAAATTGTTCACACCCTCAGAAAAATTACTGTAAAATAGAAAATACATGTAATTCAATTTTTAAAATCAGTAATTCTATCTGGAGATACTGGCATCATATTTTCATGAATATGTTCCCTCACTATTTTCTATGCCTTTAATAAATACCTAAGTCATATATAAAATAAAATTGGTCTCATATACTACTCTGTAGCTTACTTTTCCTCCTTATTAGTGTATTAGAACAACAATTTCATATCAGTTAATATTGAGCTACTTCATCTCTGTTAATGCTGCCAGTGTCCATAAGGAGATTACAATTTATTGAACCAACATTCTGTTGCTCAACACTTATATTTTCCTCCTTCTCCCTTGTCTCTTTTTTTGCCATTATAAATAGTTTACAGATATGTTTGCACATGTGTCTGAACCTTTCCTTAGGAATACTTTTAAGGGATTTCCTTTGGAATCCTAGGGTTAAACTTCAACTTTTTTTTTTTAAAGCTGTAGACGTACATTGCTAAATTCCCTTTTTTTTATTTATTTATATTTTTGGTATCGGGGATTGTACTCAGGTCCTTGCACTTGCAAGGCAGGCGGCGGATAAATTCCCTTTTAGAAACTGTCACTCTTCCACCCACCGTGTATGAATATATGCTTCACTCCATTCATCTGCCAAGACTGAAAATTATTAGTATTTCTAATAATTACCAATCTGATCAATGAGCAATATTGCCATTTAATTGCTATAAGGTTGAAATATTTTTTATTTACTATCATTTCTTTTATGCATAATCTATTTATATTCCTTGGCTATTTTTTATTAGAGATTTACTTTTTTCTTCCTTATTTTAAAAAGCGATTTACATATTAATCTTTTGTCATGTGTTATAAATATCTTCCTCTCTATTATTTATCCTTTGTTATTTAACTTTGTTTATAGTCCAATTTTCTGTATAAAGGCTTAAAATGTTCATGAAATCAAGTCTTATCAGTATTTTCCTGTATCATTTAATGTACACATTAATTTGTGCTTTTCCTCCAATTTGCAGCTGGTATGCTGGGGCAATACAATGTTGGTAACTGCAAAACTGGTGTTTCTCACACCAAGATGGGTCGACAGAGCCGCTACTTTATAGCAGCTGAAAAAATTCTTTGGGATTATGGTCCTCAAGGCTATGACAAATTCACTAGTCTTCCCTTAAATGATTCTAACAGGTAAGCACTCTTTACTGCTTTACTAGTGTAAACCTCCTCCTCAAGCTGTATGTCTGTCTATCTCTCTCTCTCTCTCTTTCTCTCTCTCTCTCTCATAGGTTTACCCCATGATCTGTGATCTCATTTGTATTCCTGGCACTGCTCTGATGAGCACATGCTACATAAATGGTATCATTTCACTGCTTAAGGAGTTCTTAAAATGAATACTGCTGAGAAGTGGCAGAGTGTTCACTGCTTTGTGATGTGCTGATGAATCAGAGCACTAGATTAATTCATCATACATTTCTTGAGACCCACTATGTACAAACTGCAGTGCCAAGTGCTATTTGAAATACCTAACTGATAGAGAAAAGAATAAAACCTTTGCACATATGGAGCAGACTAATCTTAAAAGGAAATATGACAAAATTCATTTTCAATGGAAATAAACTTTTTTTAAATGAGCTTTTTCGGGTTAAGGGCAACCTATTATAAGTTATGCCCCTTCTATGGTCTATGAATGTCCTTTTCCTCTCTGTCCAGTAAAATGTCATTTTTTTCCTTCAAAGCCTAACTTTAATGTTGCTTCTTAAGTGATTCTTCCCCTGACTCCTGAGTTCTAATTGATTGTTTGCTCTTCAGGCTCCCATAGCACATAGTGTTTTTCATTATAGAAATTTATTAAGTGGATGTGGACTCCTGTGACTTACAGAATTGCATGTAGTGATATCAGCGAAAGCATTAACAATGTATAGCATGATACTGTGAATGATTGCTGTTGCTCTGTGTTCTTTTTTTGTATTTGAGGGAATATTTGAAAAATTCTGTGTGATCAATGATAAGACATACTTTGTTTCCTTAATTGCACCTCCCTCCCTCCCTCTTTCCTTTCTTTCCTCCCTTCTTTCCTCCTTCCCTTCCTTTCTTCCTGCTTTTTTTCCTTCCTTCCTTTCATCTTTCCTTTCTTCTTCCACCAAATTGATGCACTTGCAAATTTATTTTTTTATTAAATTCTTTTATTCGTACATAGTAGGTATACAACACAATTACATTTCTCATTGGGAATTGTACCTTTACATAATGCATCTTGGCTCTTATTTTTTCCCCATTCCTAGCCCTCCCTTCACCCCCTCCACCCTTCCCTATTTACAAAGACTTTATTTCCATTTTTTCCATTTCTCAGCATTTTTCCTTTCCCTTTTTTTCTTTCCCCTGCCCCTCCTACCTCCCCTACCCTTTTTTTGACCTTTTCTTCCTATTTTACATTATCGATTATTCATTCTAATCATTGGTACATTTTAGATATACAATGTAATAACATTCATCATTGGAAATTTGCACCTCTACATAGTCTCTCTTGGTTCTTATTTTTCACCCGTGCCCAGCCCTCCCTTCAACCCCTCCAGTCCTCCCTATTTACAAAGATTTTGTTCCTATTTTTCCATTTTCTCATATTAATCCCATTCCCTTCTATCCTTTCCCCTAGTCCTCCCACTTCCTTCCCCTTTGCCCCTTTTCTTCCTATTTCACATTACCTATTATACATTTAGTCCTTATTTACAATTTCAGTTTCTCACACAAGAGAAACTATTCAGTATTCACACATGTGTGTCCTATTTATTTCACTTAAGAGTATTGCCTCAATGTGCATCCATTTAGCTGTAAATGTCTCTAATTTCCCATTTTTTATGGCTGAGTAGTACTCCATTTTATTTTAAAAACCACATTTTCTTTATCCAGTCTCCAGTTGATGGGCATTTGGGCTGTTTCCAAGTTTTAGCTATTACATACTGTGCTGCTATGAACATGGGTGCACATATATCACTGTGGTATGATTCTTTTAATTCTTTGGGGAAGATATTCAGCAGGGGAATAGCTGGGTCAAATGGGACTTCCAGTCCTAGTTCTTTGAGGTATCTCCATACTGATTTCCACAGTGGTTACACCAGTCTACACTCCCACCAGCAGTGGAACAGGGTTCCTCTTTCCCCACAGCCCTGCCAGCATTTGTTATTGGTTGATTTCATGATAGTAGCCATTCTTTCTGGAGTAAAGTGGAATCTCAGCGTTGTTTTCATTTGCATCTCTCGAATGACCAGTGATGTTGAACATTTTTTCATGTATTTATTTGCTATTTCTACTTCTTTGTCTGAGAAATGTCTGTTCATTTCAGATGCCCATTTTCAGACTGGGTCTTTCAATTTGGGAGGTCTGATCTTTTTAAGTTCTTTATAGATTTGAGATAGTAGACCTTTGTCTAAGGAACAGCAGGTGAAGATTTTTTCCCACATTGTGGGTTGTCTCTTCACACTGCTGGTGGTTTCTCTTGCTGTGCAGAAGCCTTTTAATAAGAAGAGATCCCACTTGTTGATTGTTTGTGCTAGTTCACGGGCAACTGAGGTTTTGTTCATAAAATCTTTTCCTACACTGATATTTTCAAGGGTTCTATCTAACCTCTGTTCCAACTGGTTCAGAGTTTCTATTTTAATATTTAGATCTTTAATCCATTTTGATTTTAGTTTATGCACTTGCAAATTTGTAGCAATCATCTATGAAAAAACTCTTTGATATCAATATTCTCTGTTGGCCAATATTTCTTCATAAACAGAATATTGAGAATCAGCATTAAGTATCAGTGAATATTTAATGTGGTATATGAAATCACATTGTATGGTGGCATGAGAAATACAAAAGTGTCTAAGAAAATGTTGACATCTTTATGTGGAGAAAGTAGCTGTGAAAGTAGACAGGAGAAGAGAAATAATTTTTCACATTGGAAATAAAAATGAGTGAGTTCTCTGGGTATTCAGAGAAAGCAAAGATAACCAAGAAACACTTGGCTTTCAAACAGGATGATCAAGAGTGACAAAATATATTTAAGTGAATTGTGAAAAGAGAAAATTTAGATGCAGGAGTTACTACAAAACACCTACTGTATAGGAGAGAGTGAGTAGGTTAGAAAGGATGGAGTGCAGTATCTGAATAAGGGAGTGAACATTTTCATGGAGCAATAGTGAGAAAATGGGATAAACTGTCAATTGCAGAGGTCCTTTGATACTTTTGAACTTAATTTGATTAGCAATTGGAAGCAGTTGAAGATTTGGGGACAGGTAAATGACAATGAAAGTTACCATTTTGTAGATCAAAGTTCTAGTAATGTATGTGGTGAGGAAAAAAAATAAATGAATGAGTGCAAGATAGAGGACGCAGAATATGCAGTTAGGATGTTCATATCGCGATCCAAACTCAAGGTGGAAAGGGCACAAACTGGGGTTGTAGTAGTGGAGAGGAAGGAAAGGGAAAGGTACAAAATGGGTGTTGAAAAGGGAGAATAAAAAAGAAACTTACAAAGTAAGGGTGAATGAGCTAAGGGGATGAGGGCTGGGGATGTTGCTCAGCAGCACAGTGCCTGCCTGGCAAGTGCAAGGTCCTGAGTTCAATCCCTGGCACCATAAAAATAAATAGATAGATAGATAGATAGATAGATAGATAGATAGATAAAAATAAATGAATGAGCTAAGGGGATGAGACAAAAGATAAAGACAGTAACCAACTTCAAGAGTAACATTACCATTGATGGAAATAAGATAGTACATAGTATTAGAGATTATATTATTGTATTTCACAACTTTGAAATTTGGTATTTCATGTATATAGTTTATAACTCTCCATTAATTAAACAATTTGATTTACTTGACACTCCATTCCTTAAGTGTGCCAGATAATCAAAGAGCTTATTTTAAGTAGAGACTATTCATATTGCCATCAGCAAGAGAGTAGGATGCATTTTCTGCAGAGAAACCACTTCGCTCTTTATTATTTGGTAGGACACATTTCTGGGACTCGAGTATTGGTAAGTGAAGAGTTTACCTGTGACTTCTTTGGTTGATGGACTTCCAGAGGAAGAAAGTACAGTGACTAAGAGAGAAATGAGCTTGACCACCATCCAGCTTCTGAAGACCTTTAAAGCTGGTTAACTTTCTGGGAACTTGGTTGAAGACTCTGCAGTGTTTTCTGGGAAGATGGGTGGATGAGTGGGATAGATAACAAAATGAAACTCCATAATTAAGGCATTTGGTGGATATGTCAGGATGTGTTCTTAGTTTTGTTTTTATATCTTTCCATAGTGACTCTGCATTCTACTTCACACAAGGGGAAAACAGAATAGGAGGAAAATATTGGAAGGCTCAATATACAGAGTATGTTGATGAATCTTTTACTCAAAGAAAGAGACCTTCTGAGACAGAAGCCCATCTTGGAATTCTTGGTATAGTAAAACTAAATTCATATTTTGAAGGGAAAAATGTTTCATCCACAGAGAATAGCTCTACTGCTCCTAGTCACCTCTTTCTATCTCTTTTCACCCTCTTCCTTCTCAATATTTTCCAGGCCCAGTCATCAAGGCAGAGGTGGGTGATACCCTGCTAGTGACTTTTGCCAACAAAGCTGACAAAGTCTACAGCATTTTGCCCCATGGTGTGCTCTATGACAAGGCATCTGATGCAGCCCCAAACATAGATGGTAAGTCTCAGGCTAGGCTTAGGCAGGAAACAGGATAAGTGAGCAAAGAACTAAGAAGTAGATGAACCTGTTTCAAATCTTGATCTCTTCTCTTAGCAACCCTGAGAGTATAGGCAATTACTTAAATTTTCTGAACCTTATTCTTTGTACTTATTAAATGCGTATAATAATACTCATCTCACGGAACTTTGGAAAGGAAAGAAAAGACTGCAAGACAGGGCCTGGCCCACAGTAGGTTCTTTGAAAATGTTAGTTTCTTTCCTTTCCCCCCAGTAACATAGTAAACTTCAATGTGAGCTACTTTCCAAATCATTTCCACTTCTCTAAAAGGGAGAGCATTTCTGCTACAAGTTGCAAGGAATTTTTCTGCTGGTGAAAGCTGATGGGAAATCTGATTTCCAGTTTTTGTTAACACCACAATCTTACACATGGTCTTTGCTCTGTATCTACCAAGAAATAATTATTTAAAATCAGTATTTTATGGGCCAGGGATTTAGCTCAGTGGTTTCACCACCTGCTACGCAAGCACAAGGACCCGAGTTCGATCCCCAGTACCAATAAATAAATAAATACATACATAAATTTTTTAAAAAATGAAATCAGTATTTTATTATCACTTCTTGGCCTTTTGGCTAAGTGTAAAAATCAGTATTCTATGCTGACCATCATATTTGGCCTCTATTCTTCCCAAACCAGGGAGAATAGGTTCTATGCATCCAAGGGGCTGCATGAACTATCCTTCCACTAACAATTCTGCTCTTGGGAAATTCCTTTCCTCAGTACATGTCCCCATCACTGCACAAGACATAACAGCTGCTGGGGATACTTGCCCATGCCCAGGTGTGAAGCCAGGCCCAGTCAAAAGCAGCTTTGTGGTAATGGTGAAGGGGCGGGGGAGGAAGGAATGGAGGGAGACCCAGCCTGACCCTCTCCTGCCATAGCAGTATCTCTTGGTCCTGCACTCTCTTCCTTGGTCAGGATGCTCAGAATGACTTTGTACGAGTGGGTGCAGAGATAGTATCAGAAACAGCTTAAATGTTCATATTTTCCTTTTTTTTTCAAACTCAGCAATCCTTTTTTTTGGTACCGGGGATCTAACTCAGGACCTTGCACTTGCAAGGCAGGTGTGGCACCACTGAGCTATATCCTTGGCCTAACTCAGCAATCTTATTGAACACAATATTATTATTATTATTTTTTGCAAAATGTAGGACAAGATACAGAGTGAGTTTGTAACCTTGTCTATTGGGATAAATCTAATGCGTTTTTTGCAATACAATGTGAGAATTAAGTGCACAGGACCAAACAGACTTTAGTCTGAATCCTGGATTTGCCATTTATCAGCTTTGTGACCTTGAACACTAACTTCTACTAGCTTGTAGTTATTTGAGTAATTTCCTAGTTCAGTCTCCCAGATTTCAAACTTTTTAAAGATAGGTCTCTTGCTTAACTTTTTGGGGTACCTTCTGTTCGACCAAGATATTTCACATAGAAGGCACTCAATAATATCATATGGATTTGCATTTTTATTACTGAATTGAGGTATCACTTTTTAAATATTTGCCAAATGTAATATCTGGATTCAAAGAAATTGTACAGCTTACAGAAGAGATTATCTTTTGGCTTAATCTTCTGTCTTATAATACAGCAGACTGTGGAAGTGGCCTCCCTTGGTAGAATATGTAAAACAATTGTCCTTCTAAAAAATATGTCATCATCAGAGAAGGATGCTCAGGGCTTGAGACCCAGTCTGACAACTTTAATGATCTTGGATGTTGCTTTAAGTAAGTGTTTCATTTGTATCCTCAGGATTTCTGAAACCAGGAGCACATGTTAAGCCAGGAGAAACCTTCACATACAGGTGGACAGTGCCTGAAAGTGTCAGCCCAGCAGCTGGTGATCCCCCTTGCCTGACCTATCTTTACTTCTCAGCAGTTGACCCAATCAAAGACACCAGCTCTGGCCTTGTAGGGCCTTTGCTAGTCTGTAAAAAGGGTGCTCTGAATGCTGATGGGACACAGGTAGGCCATCAAAATGTCACTAGGTTCTTCTCAGGGTTATGTGGGAGAAATCAATACTATGACTAGAGATTAGATAGTGATAAAGAGTTAATTACAAAATCAATTTCTCTCCTTTCCTCTTGGAATTGGCCTTTACATAATGAGGTTTTTTTAAAATTTAAGATCTAAATTTCTAAAGTTACCATCACTCACCCAGGAGCCTAGCATTTCTCTTTATTGCACTTGGGATTCGGTAGGCTTCATTGCCTGTGTGATGCTTTGATTCTGAAATCTTCAGAGGTCTACATGGAACTTGATTGGGATCCTTCCTACTGGACAAAATTTCTCACACTTGGCCATACCAGGAGGCATTTTAAGCACTCTATTCAAATCCTACAGACCAATCAAATCAGATCTCCAGGTGATTCCCATGTTCAGCTAAGGCTGAGAACTAATGTAACTGATTCCTATAAACTGGAAGTTTAATCATTGTGGCTGAATGAACAATAAAATGTATAGATAACTTCTTGCAAGTCCCAACTTTTAGACGCTTGGATGGTTACACTGATTAGTGGGGCAAAATAAAGCATTTCAAGCTATGTCTACATGATGTGAAATACATTTATGTAAAGAGAAAAATCTAGTCATTTAACCATTTACTTCAAAAATTACATCACCAGTCAGACATAGCCAATTTATGTAAGTGGGATATTATATAATATATGGCATGATATAGACTACTTCTGAGCTCAGATAAATTTCTAGGTTTAGGGAACACAAAGCATCTTGAGCCAACTCAGGTTTTCATTTCCCCATATGGTGGACCAACCCCAGAAATATCTATTATATATGTAATAAACTGAGTACTTGTATTGTATCTGAACAATAATATAACATAAAACAGAATGGTTATCACTATTTTAAAGCTGAAAAAGCAAAGGGCAAAGAAATTGATTGATAGTGTAGGAAACACACCTAGTAAGTAGCAAAAGTCAGCATAACACAGGACTTTGAGAGTTTAATTCTGTCCTTTTCCCAGTACACTAACTTGCTTCCTGATCTGAAGAGAGTATCACAAAATAGTTGTAAGGTAGTTCTATTTTTTCCATTGTATCTACTCAGTAGTAAATTTGAGGTTTGCTAGAAGTTTCTCTGTGAAAACTGTTGCACAAAGCAAATATTGTTTGTAATAAGACCACTTAACATAATATTCGAGGGGAAAAATATTAATCTGAAACAACCCTCCACGTGAAATTTAGTTGAGAGAGAAATATACTCAGCCAAAGTTACTTTCAAGAAATACGTGAGAAACACTTAACATGTATCAGTTCCTCTACAGATAAAAACTTGATCAGGCGTCTTCTAGGCAGGTTGAGAAATGAACAAGGAAATAGGTGTTTGCAGCTCTTTCTAGTAAACGTCATAAAAATTCTCCCAGAGGTGAAGGATGTCATAGAATATGGGTACGTAATATAAGACCATTTTAAAAATAATTATGACTCTTCACAATAACCATTCAATCAAACTGCCTACTTCCAATCCTTATCTCCCTTCCTTCTCCCCTTCTCTCTCTCCCTCCCATCTGGGGCACTGGCCATCCATGGTAGGAAGAGAAAGGCAGAGCAGAGCAGTCTGACTGCAGGGGTACCACACTGTACAAAGGCTTCTGAGCACAGAAGTAATTCCTTAGAGGAAGTCACACAGGGAGAGTAAAGGACATAATAAGAAGAGTGTCTTATGAACTTAACAAGGTCATGCCTACAAATTTGATTTACAAAATAACCCAGTGACTCTAATGTTGATAATTAACGCAAATGTATAAAGTTTGTGTAAACTTTAAAAGTGAAGCAATGCTATAAATTCCTGCAAGATGTACTCTTCATAGCTTCGTTTCTTCCTTCTCCATAGAAAGGAATAGACAAAGAATTTTACCTACTATTCACAGTCTTTGATGAGAATCTGAGCAGGTATCTTGATGAAAACATTCAGAAGTTTACCTGGCGTCCCTTCAGTATTGACAAGGAAGACAAAGAGTTTGTAAAATCCAACCGAATGCATGGTATGATAAATGCTTTCTCTCCTGTTGATGAAAGGCTTAATTGCCTTGAAAGTGAAACGTTTAGAATATATTAACTGTCTTTGTCTTGGTTTCTTCAGTATTGCCCTTGATCTTGAAGTACGTTAGTTCATGCCTTCAGCTTCGCAGGTATCTCCCAGACATATTGTGAAACTTAATGATTACTTCTAAAATATTTTGGATAATTAACACAGAAATTTGAACAAAAAAATAACAGTACATTAGAAATTCAGAAAATTACTGACAAAATTCCTTCTTGTGGGCTGGAAATAACATCGAGTCAGATAACCCTAGAGATAATAAACACCAAAGTATGTATCTCTAATCAAATAGTATGAATGACTGCTGAAAGTGTTAATTTGTAAAATACTAGTAATTCCTATTTCAGATTTTCATTTGGGAGGAATTGCTTAGTTTCCTCATCCTATCTCGGTATCAAGGTGCAATAGCAAACCACCTGGTAATCAGTTGTGATCAACACAAGAGTCTCATTAGTCTTGGGCACATTATCTGCCTACAAGTGTGCAGTTGACGAAAGTGCTAATGCAAGTGCTGTAAAATAATAGGTGGTAAACCACTTGTTTTAATCCAAGTATAATGTATATTCATTGCCTTTTAAAACATTATTGAAGAATAAAAAATATCCCCCAACCTTCCTCTCAGCCAAAGAAATAAAAAAGTCCAAAGTTAAAAGTAACCCACAGGACCCATCACAGATTCCCATGGTCCCTGATGCTCAGGTGCTGCCGAGTCCCCACTTAGACCAAAGGAAGCATGGACTAATGTATCTTTTTTTTTTTTTTCCGGTCATTCTCCTAACTTTATTCTTTGTGAACAGCTTGGGTAAAGACTTGAATAAGGCTTCTGCTCTCCCCATCCTCACTTCACTTTGGGGGCTTTAAAAAGTAATTTATATGTATTCCCAAGATTGCAGGATTTCCACATACAAAGCACAGCTGTGCAATTTGGTTTCTGAAAGAAAATAGAGGACCTCTAAGAGGTGAGCTCAGGAGAAAGATGACAGGGATAGAGGGGCCAGAGGGATCTGGTTCAGCGTCACACCAGCTTGGGAGGGTTCGTGGCTTGCAACACAAAGCATCATATAAACCACAGGCAGCCACAAAGCACTAAAGTTGAGTCAGTCACCACATAGGAGATTTTTGCTTCAGGAACTCCTTACTGCTCTTCCCCAAAACTAAGGCTGCTGTGACTCAAGCTGGATTTTTTAAATTTATTCAGCATACCTTTTAGAATATTTAGGTTGAAAAAATTTTTAAATGACTGATGCAAACACCTTCACAAATACACATACAAATGTTGGGAGAGTGTCACTAAGTAACATGGTAGGTATATAAATATGTGTTCAGAGTAACATTTACATAGTGGCCATAATAGCAAGCGTACTATTAACCAAAAAAAAAAAATCATAAAACTTCACCTGTTCACGTCAAAATCCCAAGATGGGAAGGAAGCACACCTGGAGATAGGACCAACTGACACCCTGTGCCCTAATGTGAGGCTACAGTCACAGAAGGGATTGCTGTGCCCAGTCGCTGCCGGCCAGGGCCTAAGCTGCCCCAGGCCACTGGAGGACCTATCAAAATGCATTACAGGCCCCCACCCAGTTTCTCTTTCAGTAAGCTCAGGGTGGCCCAAGAATTCATACCTCTACCGAGTTCCTAATATGTTACCAGCCCGGAGGCCACGCTTTGAAAGCCACTGTAGTGCTTGGGGCTTTCTCAGTGAAGACCAGACATCCGCTTGACCTCAGGCCTCCCTATCAAGGGCAGAAACTCCTAACCTGCTCCCTTCAGCAATGGGCTTGGGTCATTAGAATCAGTTGCCCCCATTTGCCTGTTTTTGAACGGATAGTGTAGGAAAAAAAAGTACTCATTCTAGGTGTGAAGCAGTGCGTGTGAAGGAAAGTAAGAGAATGACAGAGCCCAGCCTGATGCCATCCTTAGTTTCTGTTTTGAATTTCTAATACTAGGACTAATGAACTTTTAATATCTTCTAGAAAAGTTTTGCTATAAATAGATATGAAATGTGTTTGAACTTCTTAGTAGACAATAAAAAGCTATACTAGAAATGGGAAGACAGTAATTTCTTAGTAGGAAATCCAAATATAAAAGAAGTTTATCATTCTAGAGGCCTTTATGTAGAAAATATAAAACAACTAAATGGACAGTGTAAAATTCAGCCCCAACCTGGTTTAGCAATGTAAAACTCATTTTAATATTATGGAAATGCAAGATACTCATTTCAAAGCAAAGTTTAAGTATCTTAAAGTTATATATCTTAATTCAAAATTTACATTAATTATGAGAGAAACTTTAGAGTTCCAAATCAAGTGGTTTTTTTCCCCCAGAGACTGTGTTCTCTTCATAAACCCCATTGTTTCTTTGAATTTCTGGTAATATAATCAGGTTTAAGTACAATTACCAAGCACTGCTGGTTCAAAAGACACAGAAGTAAAAAGTCATTTTATTTGACAATGAGATTATACCAGAAGGCCGTTCATGTGTATGATAGTTGTTCTCAGCATGGACATTAGTATGGACTAGAAGGGGAAGTATATTTATCTCTCTAAGGAACGTCAAGCATGAGGCATAATTATGTACCTTATCCACAACTTCTGACACAGTTTCCACACTTGAACCCTCTTGTTCCAAATATACTGATGAGCTTTAGCTAGAATGGTGTTTTAATATATCCACATAATTGTCGCGGGCTCTGATTCTCTCCCTCCTTCTCTTTAGCTATTAATGGTTATATGTATGGCAACCAACCAGGCCTAACCATTTGCAAAAAGGATAGAGTTTCCTGGCATTTGATTGGAATGGGTACGGACACCGACATGCATGGCGTTTATTTTCAAGGGAACACCATCAACCTTCGAGGGACTCATCGTGATTCCCTGGCTCTGTTTCCCCACATGGCCACAACAGCATTCATGCAGGCAGATCACGCAGGTAAATTTAATGAGCCTATCACAGGTGACTAAATTCCAATTTATCTTCATAAAACCCTCACTCAGAAACTAGTAGACTTTGAGTACTTCAAGGGGTGTAGAAACAGATATTGTTTTGAGCCAGGAGGTGTGGTGGTGCACATCTGTAGTCCCAACACTTAGGAGGCTGAGGCAGGAGGGTCACAAGTTCAAGGCCAGCCTGGACTACGTAGAGAGATCCTGTCTCAAAAAAAACAAAACAACAACAACAACAACAACAAAAAACAGGTATAATCTTGATTCAAACCAGAGGGTTCTGGCTATTTTAGTCCAAACTCACAGTGTCATGAAGAGAGGAAGTAACACCCACAAAGCAGGAAGTGGGAGCCCTCTAAATGACTTTGCCATACAAATCCTGTTGAATGTTCTTGATTCATAGCCCTGAGAAAGGATTTTTTTCTAGTAAGAAACCAGTACGCCACCCAAGAGGAGTACTTGCTGATTCTGCCTCTCTTAGTAATGGACAGGCTACTTGTTTACCTCACCCTGGAACTACACTTCAGATGCCTCTGTGTCATCAGTTAAGAATATGCTTGAACTTCAAAACTTTTGCTCAAGAACTGCCTAAAGCTAGGAGCTCTATGATCTTTGCCTTACAAACTTGTGAATTTCTCAGAGTTTTCAACCTAGCCACATTAGTATAAGCGATTATGAATCACCCAAACCAAAGGATGCCTTGAACACAGCATTGTTTTTTTAAAAATACACTCTTCAAGACCAAAGAGGGGAGGAGGTTAGGAAACAGCCAAATCATATTAACCCATAGAAACAGACACTCAAAGATGGAAGTGGTTGGAATCTTTTCAGAGATTTAGCTATTTACCCCAGTGCTTTGATCACTATTCATTTGCCCCACAGGCTTCTAGAGAGCTTCATAACAATGTTTTCTGGTTCATATTTGGGGCTGAGCATAAAGTTGTGACTCCCTAACAGCTTGGTCATTTCACTAAATCTCATGCCTTACCTGCAAGCCGAGAACAGTGCTCGAATAGTGAGAAAAGGAAAAAATAAGCTGCAATGCGAACATTTCCTATTGTTCTTAGAGAAGATAATTCCTCCACTATCAAAGAAGTGTGATGGGAACATACATCATGGGCTTCCAGGGGACAAAAAAGTGCATAGGGAGGTCTTTCCCAGTCTGCCTTCAGAGGTATCTTCTCTGGCTTCACAAAGACCCTTCCTTATGAAAGTCCTCTTCAGTTGGGGAGCTTGGGCACCATAAGGTTAACTGTTTTTGTTATCCATTCAACAACATTGTAACATTTAACAACAGAGGGCCAGGGATTTAGCTCAGTGGTTCCCCCACCTGCCTTGAAAGCGCAAGGACTGGAGTTTGATCCCCAGTACCAAAAAAAAAAGAAAACATTAAACAACAGAGTTGCATATGAAGCAAGATTGAAGCTCCTTCTGTGCACTGTTGATGGTTAATGGAAGGCACACTAATCACTCACCTCTGAAGAACAGTATATTACAGAAAGGAAAGATCTATTGATCCAATAATTTCATTGAGAGTTAATATCTCAATAATTTTGCTTCATTTGACTCTATGGTGAGTTCAATTATGATAAATCTACCTGATGCCAGTGCATGTAGAAAATTCAGTTTAGAAAATACATAAATTTCACTCATAGATATGATTGTTGATATTGTGTAGAGAAATCTAGTTGATATTTCCCTTCTTTTTCTTTTTCATCTGGTATAATGTAGATTTACCACTGGGCATGAGAATCTCCTTTGCTCAAGACTTTAATGAAGTAATACATTTGGCTTTTATAATAATAACATCTCATATATTTATTGTGATTTATAGTTTTTGAAATCCTTCAGGGCAAAATCCATGACTTCAGAAAGATGGCCTACTCTGAACTTTTCTAGGATATGCATCTTACAAGTAATTAGCTCTTTTTAAATTGGCCTAGGCTAAAATAATCACACTCATTAGTGATTTTCCTGGCATGCCTGTCTTCTTGTAGGTTTGTAGAATAGGGACCATCCAGAGAAGTTATTTTCCCATTGCAAATGAATTTAAGATGGTATTTTCCCTCCAAACGTAAATATATTCAAAGTACTTTATTTCCTTTAGGGTCTGCTTTTAAAACACCACAAAATTGGTATTTAAAAGTTCACCTTACTGGCTGCTGATTTTGAAATAACGTATAGTTTTACTAAAAGCGGACCAAGGGCACCAACAAAATCTAGCACTGTGTACAATGTCAAGCTCTTTCTCTTTAAGGTATTTTCAAGGTGTTTTGCTCCACCTTGCATCACTTCACCAGAGGCATGAGTCAGATATATGAGGTCAACAGCTGCGGCAACAGGGACCCTTCTGAGCAGCCCTACGGGATGATAAGAACCTTTTACATCGCCGCTGAAGAGGTAGAATGGGATTATGCCCCTAACAAAAACTGGGAGTTCGAAAAGCAGCCCTTGGACGCAGGAGGGGAAAGGTACCACAGGCGAAGCCGCCAAGTCTCTTCGGTGGGAGTGTGTATGCTCTGTAGGCATTTATCACACACTGAAATCTAAAAATGCTGGGGTATTTTCTGCACAGATGATTAAGGAAGCTGTGAGTCTGCAGCCTGAAAGGGAGTGTGAGGTCCTCCTGAGAGCACTCCTCTGTCAGCTCTGTGTACCTCCCCTAGTGGTGACTCCTCTGTTGTGTGGCTGTTGATGGATGGATGTGCCTTTGAGTGAGCACACAGGAGGAAAGGAGAACAGGCAAATCCCACAGACACTGTGGGACTAGGAAGACCACAGAGGTCAGAGGAGACAGGCAAGGAGTATAGATCTCAAATAGGATACTGTAGAATGAAGAGCACAGGGAAGCAGAGCTGAAGACAAACTATTGGTGAAGAAGAGATCTAGGTAGGGACAACTGAGGAGGAGTAGGAGGCCATTGCCTTAGGAGGGATCCCTGAATCAGGGTGGGAATTAGGCCCTCTATCCATAAAGTCCTCAAGGTTGACCCTTCTTTGGAAGTGATGTCAGCCAGTACTACATGCCAAAGAATCAGCAATGCTTAAGCCACAGGCAGGCTTGTGAGTGCTGGTCTTCTACTCCCCTGACCCGAGTCCAGTAATCAACTCTCCAGGGTGGCTCAGGATAGAGTTACACAAGGAAGAAATTAGGTGCAGACTATAGACCTCCTCCTCCAAAGTTAATACCACCCACTTCACAATAATCTGCTGCTTATGTATTGCTATCCTAATATGAAAATGAGGAAACTTGAGTTCAAATAGTTAAGTTGTCCACATAGTCACTGGCAGAACTGAATATAGATCTTTTGAAGATAAATCCATGTTCTCTCCAATATACTGTATTGTCTTTCATTCCCCCAATTTCTCTTTGTTTCTTATTATCACCTACTTCTACCCCTTCCTGCCATGCTTACCTGCCCACACCTCATACAAATCCTCTAGGGCTGTGGCAAAACCAAACATCTAAAATTTTCTGTTCCTAATCTTAACACAATTTTTTCTCTTCCTTCTTGCTACTAGCTGGCCTTTGTTTTGAAGTGTCATACTCCTGGAAAAGAGAGTGTATTAATGCCATTATATGGATTAAAAAAGGAAAATGATTATATTGAAGATTTGCCTTGAGGACAAGAAGATTAAAAATCATGCAATTATTCACTAATCTATTTGTTTAAGGAGACACCCATCTTCTGGGAAACTTGTGCTACCAGTACAAACCAGTGCCCGCATAGCAGAAAATGAAATGCATACTAATTCAGGCTTTTCTAAAATGATTGTTCCACTAAATGGCTGCAATAACTGAAGCAAAAATTGTATAATAATTTTGCTATGTGTACAATCCCACAAGGGTATAAGAAACAGAGCCTTGATTGTTTTCTTGCAACTCCTTTTAACCTCTGTTTGAAGCCCCCATTCCTCTGGACTGACAAGAAAGTCTACCTTCAGTTATGGGATTCTCTCCCAAGTACTGGAGAGGAGAGGTAAAATGCCATAATTGTCTCCTTTCCTTACCACATTATTGCCTGTCAATAAATAAGAACAAAGTGAGATAAAGACATGTTTCAAAGTACACCACATTCTATAGATAAACACTCAGTACAGAACTGAAATGACAGGTTCTCAGAGTAACTCCTCTGCAGCATCTCTGTAATAGGAGCCCAGGGACAAATGCCCTTCAAACCCTGTTTCTATGCCTGTTTTTTTTTCTCCAAAGCCATGATGGAGTCATGCCTGTTTTTCAGAACACCTCTTTTTTCCATTAAGTTTATTGGCACATTTTAGGTATACAATACAGTTACATTCATCATTGGGATCTTGTACCTTTACATGATGTATCTTGGTTCTTATTTTTTTCCCATTCCCCTGCCCTCCCTTCACCCCCTCCCACCCTTCCTATTTACAAAGACTTTTGTTTCCATTTTTTTCCTTTTCTCATATTTTTTCTTTTCCCTTCTTTCCTTTCCCCTACCCCTCCCACTTCCCCTACTCCTTTAGAACTCTTCTTCTTATTTCACATTATCAATTAAACATTTTGATCCTTATTTACTCTTTTAGTTTTTCACTCCAGAGAAACTATTCAGTATTTACACATGTGGGTCCTATTTATTTCACTTAAGAGTATGGCCTCAATGTGCATCCACTTAGCTATAAATGTCTATAGTTTTTCATTCTTTATGGCTGAGTAGTATTCCATTTTATTTTTAAAAACCCCCGCATTTTCTTTATCCAGTCTCCAGTTGATGGGCAACTGGGCTGTTTCCAAGCTTTAGCTATTACAAACTGTGTCACTATAAACATGGGTGCACATATATCACTTTGGTATGATTCTTTTAATTCTTTAGGGAAGATACCCAGCAGAGGAATAGCTAGGTCAAATGGGCCATCTAATCCTAGTTTTTTTACATATCTTCATACTGATTTCCACAGTGGTTGCACCAGTTTGTACTCCCACCAACAACGGAGAAGGGTTCCTCTCTCCCCACAACCCCGCCAGCATTTTTTATTGGTTGATTTCTTGATAGCAGCCACTCTTTCTGGGGTGAGGTGGAATCTCAGTGTGGTTTTCATCTGCATCTCTCGAATGAACAGTGATACTGAACGTTTTTTCATATGTTTATTTGCTGCTTTTATTTCTTTGTCTGAGAAATGTCTGTTCATTTCAGATGCCCATTTTTGAATTGGGTCTTTAAATTTGGGGGGTCTGATTTTTTTTAGTTCTTTACATATTCTAGTTAGTAGACCTTTGAGGAACAGCTGGTAAAAATGTTTTCCCACATTGTAGGTTGTCTATTAGCTCTGGTGGTCTCTTAGTTGGTGGTTTCTCTTGCAGTGCAGAAGCTTTTTAATAAGATGAGATCCCAGTTATTGATTCTTTGTGCTAGTTCCCATGCTACTGAGGATTTGTTCATAAAGTCTTTTCCTATGCCAATGTCTTTGAGAGTTCTACCTAACTTATGTTCCAGCAAGTTTAGTGTTTCTATTTAAATATTTAGATCTTTAATCCATGTCAATTTTAGTATAGTGCATAGTGAAAGATAGGGTTCTAGTTTTAATCTTTGGCAAGCTGAAATCCAGTTTTTCCAACAGCATTTATTAAAGAGACTATCTTTCCTCCAATGAGGATGGTTGACTCCTTTCAGACCACCTCTTAGTAGAGGTTAACTCTGAGACATGTATTGCTCTGGTCAACACAACCTCTCTTCCATACATTGGGACTTAGAAGTCTTTCTTTAGGGTTACCTAAGAACATGCTGAGAAGGCCTCAAGTTTCCAGATGGACAACAAATAATGCCACCAGCACAATTCCAAGGGGCAAGTTTTTGCAATGGAAGTGAATTTGAAGAAAGAAATTAAATTGAAAACAGAAATTAAGTTGTTATTGAAAAGTAAAGTTATAATCCTAGTACTCCTGTGCTGTAGATTGATATATGTGATTTTTAACCATTCTGGGACACACCATAATAATTATCATCTATTGAGCACATATATGCATCAGGCATTTTGCTAAGGTTTTTACAAACCATATGTGATATACGTTTGACCCATTCAATCAGCTTTTGCCCAGAATCCCATGTAACCTCCTCTTGAGATGATGATAAAAGGCTTACATAGTGCTTAATATGTACCTGACATTGTGCTTTACTGACATAAACTCATACAGTTCCTCATAGTAATTCTGTGAGGTAGGTGCATTGTCATCATCCAGTTTTGTACAGGAGGAAAGCCAGAGCCTGGCTCCGGGGTCTGTCCTGCTCATCACCACAAGCTTTATGAGGACTCATGGCAAATGAAAGTAGAAGAAAAGTTATCTTTCTTTGTAAAGTATATAGTGCAGAGCAGAAGGTACATATGTATTTTTTGATACCTACTTTGTGCTAGGCACTATGCAAAGTGCTGATGAAACAAGGTGGAGGGGGATAGACAAGGTTGCTCTATATCCTGAATTTGTGGTCCATGAGGAAGATTTCAAAACAAATATATGGAGTGAGACAATGGCTAAGAAAAAGGAAGTGCAGAGTGCAGCAGGAGCTCAAGCCAGAAGCACATATACTGTGTTGGGGAAGGTAAGGAGAGGGTAGGTAGTCAGGGAAAGTTTCCTGAAGAAGTGATCTTTGAGCTGGGATGTGAAGAGCAAACCAGTTGAAGAGATGGGAAACATTTCTTGGCAAAATGATAGGCATGTATAAAGGCCTGTAGGGGAGGGAATGTGCATCATGTTCAAGAGAGAATGTTTAGAATGACCAGAACATAGAGTGGGGGGATCTAGTAATGGGAAATGAGACTGGGGAGTTGGCAATGGTAGATTATGAAGGGTCTTGAGAACCAAACTGCAGAGTTTCTCAGAAGGACGTTATAAAAAGTTTTTCCATATAGAGCAACCTGGTCAAATTTATTGGTCTGGATCACTCTTCTTGCAGTATAGAGGACAGAAAGAAAGGACTTATATAGGTGGCTGGGAGAGTGCTGAGAAACAATTCCAGCCAACACAGGTAAGTGATACAGGCAGCTTAGATTCAAATGCAGGCAGTGAATGGGGGAAATGGTAGGACATGAGACTGACTGTATTTTGGAGATAAAATTGATAGGTTTCCCTTCCCTTCCCTTTCCCTTTCCTTTTTCCCTTCCCCCTTCCCTTCCCTTCCCCATTCCGTTCCCTCTTCCCTTCCCTTCGCTTCCCTTCCCCCTTCCTTTCCCTTCCCTTCCCTTTCTGACAAGGACTAATTATTTTGCTCAGCTGGCCTCAAACTCCTACCTCAGCCTCTTGAGTAGCTAGGATTATAGGTGTGTTCCATTATGCCCAGATATTTTAGATTTAAAACAATCTGATTTTTTGTGATGATTCACCTTGATGATGGATGTACAAATACAGTTGATCCTCATTCTTTGTGAATTTCACATTTGCGAATTTTCCTTGCCCATCTTGAAGATAAGATTTTAAGGCAGATGGCTAATATATAAAACTTATTTGTAACCCCAGAGTCAATTCTTATAGCACTTTTGTGGTCATTTGAAGAGATGCACAGAGCTATGAAAAGTGTAAGTTGCCTGATGCATATATTCACAGCTAAGGTCAAACAAAGCATTTCTCTGTTTTCTTATTTCAGCTCTCCTGCCCTAAACAAATCATTAGGAGGGGGTCTATTTAATGCCATGATTTTTGTATTTGTGTGCTTTATTTTGGTAATTTCATTGTTTAAAATGGCCAGTGAAAGAGTAGTGTTGAAGCACTATCCAGTACTTCTAAGCGCAAGAAAGCTGAGATATGCCTTAGGGGAGAAAAAAAAATACGTGAGTTAGAGATCCTTAATTGAGGCAGGAGTCATAGTGCTTTTGTCTGTGAGCTCAGTTAGTGAGTCACTTGCACATATTAAATAAAATATCTTTAAACAGGATCATACATAAAGCACTTATAATTCAGTCTTCGTAGTGATTTTCTAGAACATAAAAACTATGAATAATAAGAATGACTGTATCTATGTATCTATATGTGAGTATAACCTCAAAATACAACCTGCAGGCTTTCTTGAGATCTTCCAAAGAGGAAAAGCACAGCAAAGTATAGAATTATGTATATGAAACTTAGAGGAATTCAGGATGGTAGAGGAAAGCATGTGTGCATGCACGTGCCATGTGTGAGATTAGCATCAAGAAGAGAAGTTCGCCCTCAAGAGATCCCCTTAAATCTCTAAGGTTGGACCCATTTGGCACCCAGCAGTGGTTGAGGGCAATTGTTGCAGAAGGTGGGCCATCAGCTGGTGCTGGGCTGCCCTTATCAGAACCTAAGGAGCTTTAAAGTGCTGATTCTTGGCCTTACTCCCAGGAGGTGGTCCAAGAGGCCAGCTTCCTGGGGTGATTCTGATTACAGTCAGACTTTGGGAGCAGTATTCTGGAGTAACCCCAAATTACTCAGAAACACTTGAGGATTTTTTTCTAACAACTTTAATTTCTGATGCTTCTGATTTGCAGACATGGAGATATATTTATGAACCACACTGAAAACTGGATTGGCTCTCAGTACAAGAAGGTGGTTTATAGGGAATATACCAATGGAGAATTTGTGGAGATCAAAGCTCGACCACCTCAAGAGGAGCACTTAGCACTCTTGGGTATGACACGGGATTTCAGCTGTGTACTGTCAGCCCCAAGCATGTACATGCATGCGCATGCACACCCACACACTAACACACAATGTCCTATAAGACACTCCGGTGGTGCGCATGTTCTGATCACCACAGGGTGAGAGGCCCCTGGCTGGGCTGAGGCCATTGGACACTCATGCTGGCATGAGCTCTCTCCAGCTGGGTGTGGCCTCATCTCCATGGAGAGGCAGTGATTGATTTTCTGGTGATTGCTTCCACCAGAAAAGTACACAAATGAGGGGCTGGAGAGCGCCTGTCTCCCCAGTGTTTCTGTGTATTGATAACAGCATTAGATGTGCATTAGTGAAATCACTGTGTGGATCATAAATCCATACATAAATGTTTTTATTTCATTCTTATATTTCAAATCTCTTTAATATACATTACTTCATTGGATCCTCATTATTATAATATCCATTTACCAGAGGTAATAAGCAATTTTAGACTTCCAAAGTTTACACAGGGGAATTACAACTGAAGTCACCACATCATGTAGATATGGTCTTTCTTAGAGGTGCTTTCTCATTAGTAGTAAAAAGTTAAGCACTTATTGAATACCTATCATGCTTCAATGTACTGAAATAAGCTTTTTACATATATTGTTTTCTTTAATCCTTACTATAACCCCATATGAAAGGTATTATTAAACCTGTTTTATAGATAAGAAAATTGAGATTGAGATTACATGACTCACCAAAGGTGCCTCTTATAAGAGAAGGAGGCAGAATTTGAATCTGGATTAGTCCCATTGTTAAATACTACAACAGTATTTAGTACTACACAATATTGCCCTGTAAAGGCAGTGCATTAGTGAGAAAGCTAGCCTGTATTTTATTATGCTAAGTACTACTTCATTTAAATTATATCAGTTTTGGAAAGAACAATGATAATGCACATAGTCCTTTCCTTTACTTTTAGGCCCAATGATTCATGCTGAGGTGGGTGACTCCATCCTGATCATATTTAAGAACAAAGCCAGCCGGCCCTACTCCATCTGGGCCCAGGGTATAGAAGACATGGACTATGGAAAGGGACTCCAAGTGCCCATTACAAAGCCAGGTAAGGTATGCTAGCGGTCTGCTCCATCCTGATGAGGACACCAGATTCAACCCTTATCTGATCTGAGGGGTCTTAGAGAACTCATCTAAATGTCACTGTGTTTCAACCATTGCCTAGTCACTCCTGGTATAATAACTAAGTATGGAAGAAATTTCTAGGGCTCCTTTGGAGACCTTAAAGGGTAGTAAGAAATAATAATGGCTTAGTTACTTTTCTTGTTGCTGACACAAAATACCGAACACCCAAAGTTAAAGGAGGAGAAGTTTATTTCAACTCACAGTTTGCAGAGGCATAATTAACTGGCTCCAAGGCAAGGTGGCATGGCAGAGGGTCATGACAGAGGAAAAATAGTTCATGTCAGGCAGAAGGAAGCAAAAGCAGCAAGCAGCAAATGATGACAACAGACCTCCTTCTGACTCTGATAGTTTATCCAGGGCACACACCCTTAAGGTGGGTACACTCACACCCAGGGTGGACCTTCCCATTATACACATCCAGAATTATGCCAAACCAATCAGTGGATTAATTTAGTGATCACACACCCTTGATCCCAGTGTTACACTCTCAATCGCAGCATCACATACTCTAGATCCAGCTGTCTCTAAAAAGCCCCATCTATGATCACATGAGGCTTTGGAAGGACATCTAGTCACAAGCAATAACAATGGCTGACATGTACTGAATATAACCTTGTGCCAGATGCTGTGCTTTATATTTGAAACAAAAAACCCAAAAAACTCACTTATCCTTACAACCGATCAAGATAGACACTAGCATATTTCATCAATTCTGACACCATTGATTATGGTATCCATCACTGTTTCATCTGTTAATTAAAAAAAGAAAAGAATGCTAACAATTAAACTTAACATGCTACAGATTGAAAAACGTATCAACCTCAGATATGCTAAGATGTAAAAAGCTTGTATCCTATAATTGATGAAAAATACAGTATCGTTATGTCTGTTTAACAAATACCAAAACACAGAGGGATAAAGAACTTGACCAGGTCCTAAATTAGTAATATATTAATGAATGCCAGTTTTTTTAAAAAAACAAGGTCTAACTTACTGGAATTTTGTTTGAGTTGTCTTGAATTTATGGATCAAATTAAGAAAAACAGATATCTTGACAGTATTGAATCTTCCTATCCATGAACTCAGAACATCTCTACATTTATACTTCTTAATGTCTTTCATCAATTTTGGAGTTTTTCTTGTATATATTTTGTAGTTTTTTAGATTTTTATGTATATATTTTATTTTGGGAGGTGCTACTATAAGTAGCACAATGTTTTTAATTTCAAATTCTGCTAGTTCATTATTGTAATACAGGAATTTGATTGACTTGTATATTAACTGTTCATTCTATCATCTTACTATAGTTTTTTATTAATTATAGGAAGACTTCTTTTAGATTTCCTACATAGATGATCATGTCATCTGCAAACAAAGATAGTTTGATTTTGTCTTTTCCAATTGTGTATATCTTTTACTTCCTTTTTTGTCTACTGCATTAAGTAGAACTTGCAGCATGATGTTGAGAAGCATTCAAGAGAGAAAAGCTTTGCCTTGTTGCTTTCCTGACCTTAATGAGAAAGCTTCAGATTTCTCACTGTTAAGCCATTAGATAAAGTTATTAATTTTTAATAGTTGAGCAACTACAGAGGAAGGAAGAAAGGTGCCCATCGGACATTCATCCAGGCTGTGGTAGGGCTCTGAGTAAGTTGGGAGGACCCCCTGACAGGCTGCTGTGTCCTGTGGTAAGGACAGGCAGACACAGCAACTGTCTGCTTCCTGGCCTTCCAAGAGTGTTTGAGGTGAGGATCATGGAGGTGAGGAGGAGAATGGACTAGAATGTGACAAAGAAGCATTTTTCTTAGTAAAACTCAGAGGGATAGATTGGTATATTTGTCATTTCATTCTGAAATTGTGGAAATCAAGACATCAGTTGAATAAGAACATTTCTAGCTGGGCATGGTGGCACACACCTGTAATCCCAACACTTGGGAGGTAGAGGTAGAAGAATCGTCATGAGTTCAAGGCCAGCCTGGAATACATTGTGAGTTCAAGGCCAACCTGAAATACACAGGGAGACCTTGTCTCAAAAAAACAGAACAAAATGAAAAGAACATTTCTGATGAATGGGTTATTATATTGAACAGTAAACCATTAATGAATATACATAAAGACCTGCTTATGTTTCTTCAGGTAAATCACTTGCAACAGAGGTAACTCTAATAATTTCTTCTCATTCATTTCAGGAGAAATAAAGACTTACAGATGGAATGTCCCTAAAAGATCAGGTCCGGGGCCCTCTGATCCCAATTGTATTCCATGGGTTTACTATTCAATGGTAAACTTTGTGAAGGTAAGGGGAGAGCAACCAAGATGCTTTATGTAATATAGTTGCAAATTGGCTGTCAAATCATTACACCTCTGGCAGGTATATGTGAAGGAGATATGATTTAGAGCAGGGGTCTCACTATGGCATTCTGGCAAAATTCAGCCATGTTTATTAATTAACATTATCTGGGATTGTGACAGAGATAGTATGTCTATGGCTTATAGAGTAAAAATAAAAGAAAAAATATTGATCATCTGGTGCTTTATACAAAAAAGTTTGCTAACCATTGATTTTAGGTCTGAAACATAAAAACAAAACCCCAATGTTTTAATTCCCAAATTTAGAACTTGCAAGGTAATTTGAAACAAAAGAGAATATATAAATAGATAATAAAAAGGATCTTAAAATGTAATTTATGATTTTGGATGTATGAAATCTGTTAATTTCAAAGTCATTATCAGAGCTGAGAAAATGAAAGCACATTCCAAACATAGTAACTGAAATTATGAAATTATTTGAATGATTAATAGTCTGAGAAACAAAAGTCAAAGATCCAATACTGACTTTGAGTCAGGCATTTGTATGTAAAACAACTATTTTCTATATCATAAACCAAAGTCCAAACTAAATCATATCTGATATAAAGTGTTAAGCATTGCCCATTATTTTTAAAATTGAAGGATTTATTTTAACCTTTCTTTTACATATTAGATAGCTTGAATCAATGTCCTTGACTTGTTCTGGACACTACAAGAGTTCAGAAGATAAACATTTAAGATATTTTTAAATTTTACAAATCAGAATAATGGAAAACTTACGTGTTTATTCATTTATACATCCCAACAAATATTTACTGAGTACTTGTAATATTCAAATGATGCTCCCAAATACTGGAACAGATGTAAATATTCTTATCTTGATGAAATATAACTTTGTGTGGGAAAATAATACATACATATCCATGCATAACTATCATGACTCTGAATGTGATGAATTCTGTAAGAGTGGTGGGCTGTCAAAGGTACTAAGAGGGTTTGGGAGAGAATCTAGGAAAAAGGAGAATTATAGGCAAAGCTGAAAATAGGACAGGGGAAGGTGTGTTAGGGGAGTGTTGAGAATCCCGTTCGGCTCTCCTGTAGGGTCCAAAAGGAAAATAAGGCGGGAACCTAAGCCAGAAGGTTCATTGAGGGAATGAATAGTGGGGGTTAAAAACTTGTCAAGGATTTTGTTCTACATTCTGTAGGCAATGGAAAAATCACTGAAGGCTTCTAGATGTGGAAGTGATGAGATTAATCTGATGGTGTTTGGTAGAATAAGTTGAAGGTGGGGTGGGCCAAAGAGAGAAAGGAACCAGTTTCTAGATCCTACACTAGGATCATGGCAGGTAGAATGGAACATTATTAAATTATTTTTTATTCATCTAATTTGGTTAATTTTTCTTCCAGGATACATATAGTGGTTTGATGGGTCCTCTGATCACATGCCGAGAAGGAGTATTGAATGAAAGGGGAAGAAGAAGTGACATTGATTATGAATTTGCTCTCTTGTTTTTGGTATTTGATGAGAATGAATCCTGGTATCTAGATGACAATATTAAGAAGTATCTCAATAAAGATCCACAAGATTTTAAGCGCACTGATGATTTTGAAGAGAGCAACAAAATGCATGGTATATGAAGGATTTAAAGAGAGGACCATTGTTGAGATAAGCTCATAGAAATTTCTATCAGCGTAGGAGGCTCAACCTCCTTCTCTGAGCCTTTTCCCCTTTCTAGGGGCACCTGGACTGAGCAAAGTCCTTTAAAACTTTTCGTTGGAATATACCAGCCTAAACACTGCTTGACTGGCAGCAAAGTCATTGAGTGGCACCTGTCTCTGAATGCTGAGATTTTTTAGCTAAAATGAAGTAATTAAAAAAAAAATAAATCAATTATTGGTATATTTAATGTTAATCAGCATAAGTCCTGTTTGATCAAATTTAAGGATTTGATTTAATTCTCTGGGACATGAAACACTATCACTGAATTTTTGTTTTAATGTGTCTGTTGTTTGTTTTTTTCTTGAGTTTTTTTATAGAAAAACATTTATTGGTACATAATTCTATGTAATTTAAGGTAGTTTTTGTTTGTTTGTTTTGATTAGAGTATATGTTCAAGTTGACACACCCATGTTCACTTGCCAAGATGTACTTATGTAATAGACCCTGCCTGAGGTCACAAAGCCAGTTGTTAATACAGATTAGATTATTGTAGCCTGACTCCCAGTTGAACTACTTTTTCCACTACTGTTGTCTTTAATGAATGTAGCTATTTGGTGGTACCATGATACACAGAATAAAAGGCTATAGGAAGTGGAGAACTAAGAGTCACCATTGTATAAACCCAGCTTTTAAATTTTTTATTAGTACATGATTGCACTACCTAGTGATTGCAGTCATGAAGAGTTGGTACATGTACATAACACATCTTCATTCTTTTTATTTCTCCTTCTTCTACCCCTCCCATTTTCCTCCCTCCATCTCTTGGTCCCTGTAAACCCAGCTTACCCATGTGAAGCCTTCCTTTTAGAGATTCAGCCAGGCTTAAACTAGTTCTCAGAAAGCGAAATGTTAAAGAAATACCTTCTAATTCATTCAGTATTCATTTATATAAATCTAATTTCGGGGTGTGGCTTAGTCCACTCCTCTGTACAGTGGTATAAATCTGGGTTTTTACCAAAGAGCCCGTAACCTCTTTCACAAAGGAGATGTGCTGAGTAAACAAACAAACACTGCCACCCAAAATAAAACTTTGAAAAACAAACTAATAGTTCTCTTTTTTGGCTCTCTTTGTAAAGATTTCTTGGTTATCTGAATTTTAGATCTAGAATGGCAGGGACACGGCTAAGTGTGAGTGAGACTGTAGATAAGAATACTGATTTCCTAAAGATCTGAAACCATTTCTAAAACCAAATTAAGTAGTGTCTTCTCACTGACCAAAGGCCATTTTCTTTTCACCTTTTTAGCCATTAATGGGAAGATTTTTGGAAACCTCCGGGGCCTCATAATGAATGAAGATACAATGACGAACTGGTATTTGTTAGGAATAGGAAGTGAAGTGGACATACATACCATCCATTATCATGCTGAAAGCTTCCTTTTCAAAGTAAGTATAAGGAAAATGCTTTGGGGAAGCTTTTTGAACTAACAGATTCAATGTATTTCCATTGCGAAATAAGGGAGTTACTTGGCAATAATCCTTGTGAGAGATGGTGGTTCACATTAGAGAATGGGACCAAAGAATGTGATTATACCCTTCTCCTGTAGATGATTCTTCAAATTCATGTGTATATTATTGTCTCTGAGCTTCAGATGAGTGTTTTCTCATCATTATATGGCCATAATTCTGACCCCTGTAGATTGATACTGTATATGAAAGCGCCATAGTATTTGTCCCTTTTTCTGACCCCTCCTTTTTTTCTCCCCGCCCCCATTGTTTCTTTTTGATTAGTTAACAGAATAGTCCTACCTAATAAAAGACATACTTTGAACTCTGACTTGGGTTCCCCAACTTTATCTTGACTTTTGCCCTGGAGAGCTAGGCTGGACCATGTGTGACCTTCTACTTTCTGGCATCCAGCTGTTCTATATGGGTGTGGTGCTGGCTGTACAGCAGAATCAGGCAGAGAACTGTTTACAGAACAGATTGCCAGGCCCCACCTTAGACCCACTGAATCAAAATCTCTAGGGATACAAAAAAAGAAAAAGAAGGGAAAAATGGAAACAAAGCTTCTATAAATAAGGAGGGGAAGAGGGGTTAAAGCAAGGGTAGTGGAATGGGAAAAAAAAGAAGACATATCATGTACAAGTACAAATTCCCTACATAACAATCTTGTTTGTAGATAGAGATTGTTTTATTTATTTTTCATCTGCTTGCATTTTTTTTGGTCTTATTGCAATGCAGAGGAACTCTAGTATAATTTTGAATGAAAAGTAGGGAAAGTGAGCATCCTTGCCATATTCTTCACTTGATCTTAGCCAAAAGGCTGAGAAGCGATATGCCATGTTCTTAATCTTAGAGGGGAGGAATATTCAGTTATTCACTACTGAATATAAAGTTACTTGTGGGGCCAGGCGTTTAGCTCAGTGGTTCTGCTGCCTGCCTCGTATGCATAAGATCCCAAGTTCAATCCCTGGTACCAAAAAAAAGGTAAAGTTACTTGTGGCTTTTTAAATAGATCTTACTGTAGATACCAGGTTAAGGAATTTCTGTTATGCAAGTTTTTATCATGAACAGATGTTAAATTATATCAAATAGTTTTTATGTGTCTATTGAGATGATTGTATGATTTTTTTCTTCTTCATTACTATTTTTCTTTAGTCCATTGGTGAACTGCATTTATTCTTTTTCAAACATTGAACCACCATTTCATTTTGTGCATAAACCTTGCTTAGTCATGATGCATTATCCTTTTTATGTACTGCTGGATCTGATTTGCTAGTATTTTGTTGAGGATTTTTGTACCTGTGTTCGTGAAGAATATAGATTTTCTTTTCTTGTAATGTATTTATTTAGTTTTGATATCAAGTTAGTCATCCTTATAAAAATGATTTATAAAAGTGTGTTTAGAATTGGTATTACATCTTCTTTAAATGTTTTTTAGACTTTGCCAATGAAACCATCTGGACCTGTTGGAAGATCTTAATACAATTTCAATTTCTTTATTAGATATAGTACTATTTAGGTTACCTATTCCTTCTTGAGTGATCCGTGGCAATTTGTATTTTTTAAGAATTTTTCTCATATGATATAAGTTGTAGAATTTATGGACACAGATCTATTTGTACAATATTTCCTTATTATCATTTTTAATGTCTGTAGGATTTTCATTATGTTCTGTCTTTCCTTCCTGATATTTGTAATGTCTTTCTTTTTTGTTTAGTTTTATGCTAAAACTCAGTAACATGAAGCAACGGACATTGATTATCTCACAGTTTCTCTGAGTTCAAAATCTGCAAATAGCTTAGTTAGGTGGATCTGATTCAGCATCTTTTCAAAGGCTTCACTGGATCTAGTGGATCCATTTTCAAGCTCACTCAGGAGGCTGCTGACTGAAAGCTTCGTATTTGATCATATGAGTATGACATGGGCTGGTTTTGGCCAGAGTGACTGATCTAAGAGGAGAAAGTAAGAGAGGGACTAAGACAGAAACCATGGTCCCTGATAGTCTTATTTTGCAAGTGGGATGCTGTTACTTTATCATATGTTATTGGTCACACAGATCAACCTTACTATAAAGTAGGAAGAGGCTACCAAGATTATGAATACCAGGAAATGGGAATCATTGGGAGCTATTAACAGGAGCTGGCTACTATAAGATTTATCAATTTTATTGATTTGTTCGAAGAACCAGCTTTATGTCTTTGATTTATCTCTATTATGTTTCTATTCTTGATTTTATTGATTTCTGTTCTTTATTTCTTTTCTTCTGCTTACTGTGTGTTTCTTTGCCCTTCCTTTTCTTCTTGCTATGCTAATAAGTAAAAGCACATGTGTTTTTTTACTTCTCCAGATAGACAAATCTTACCGAGAAGATGTGTACGATCTCTTTCCTGGGACATTCCAAACCATTGAACTATTTGCAGATCACCCAGGGACATGGCTACTACACTGTCATGTGTCTGACCATATCCATGCTGGCATGGAGACAACCTACACGGTCCTCCGGAACATAGGTATTGTTGTCTGTCAATGATGCCAGATGATGGCACCAAGCTTCCTGTAGACCTGGAAACAGGAGGCATGAGAAAATCCCAGATACAGCCCCCAAGGAGCTCAGAGTCAAGTAAGAGAGACAGATATGTAACTATGTAACCATAATAGAGTATGATATGTGCCTTAACAGATTGCAGAATACAGGACTCAGTGGCAGGAGTAGGAGGGCATCATTAAGAGTTTGGGAATGTGAGCCAAGGTTTTATGGGCCATGATGCTCATGATGTATGTCAGTGAGTGAGAAGACTATGGAAAGGTAGAGGGGTTGGGAATGCATGTGTACTTGTATGAAGTAGCCCAGTGAGAATACAAGAAAGATGGTCGATACTTGTGGGATAAATTATTTGCTGGTGAAATGACATGACTCCTTTAGCCAAAAGAATCTCTTCTTGTTTAAAAAACAATTAATTTATCTTCCTTGTCTAGATAACAGAATTCCATACTCCACCAAGTCTCCTTCTGGAGGGGCATCCTACCCAGCCGCAGTGCCCGCCAATGGTAATGCTACCCTCCCCTGCATCCTGCCTGTGAATGCCTTAGCATTTCACTCCTCAGGTCCTCAGGTAGAGGCAGGCATATGACATCTCACTTTTGTTTTTCACAGAACGACCTGGCAAGGAGCAGCTCTATTTTTTTGGCAAGAATCTGGGTCCAAGAGGAGCCAAGGCAGCCTTGGTCATCCTTTTCATTATGGGACTCCTCCTCCTGATTGCCACCGTGATTCTGTCCCTCAGGTTCCACTCTGCAAGGACGCAGATGGCTTACCGGGAAGTCCAATCCTGTGCACTTCCCACAGAGGCTCTGTGAACCATCCGATCTTCCTCAACAGGAAGAGGTTCCATAGGTGGCCAGATAGTAGCCCTCAGGGAAACTGGATCAAAGCATCGTTCACCAAGGAAGGCTGACACTGTACCCTGGATCAGGCTTCTGATCCTCTGGACCAATATTGAAAGCAATTTGCTTTATTTATTTATTTTTAAATGGGCTGTGAATAATCCTCAGGTATAAAATACAGAAAAAAGAAGAATGCATGGAACTGACAGATGCCAACCCTTTGTCTGTTTTCTGAACAAATTTGCTGTTGCGGGAGACTCTCTGAAAGATATTTTCATATTCCATGTTTCATAATTTTTAGATTAAACAGTGCTTCCTTACCTAGCTGTCAAAGTTTCTAGAAGGACAATTTCTAGAAAGGGTTTCAGCACCTCAGATATCTAACTGGAATAACACTGACTTTCCAACACTCTCACAAGAGATGCTTCCCTTAGCTGTTAAAGGGAAAAGACATTTCTGAGTTTGTAGAAATGTTTAAGTCAATATCTGCTAATAGAATTGGACCAAATTAATTTCTAGAGGCTTTAACCAGCCCTCCTGGCCTTTCCCCCTTTGATATAAATAGCCTGTCACTGTTCTTGTTTATAAGAGGCAAAATTATATGGTATTTTTTAAAAATTGCTGCTGTTTTTATGCAAATCTATAGAAATACTTGAATGTTTACAGTTCATTCCATGTTATACGTTTTTACAATATGTTTTTTGTGGCAATGTGTATATTTTCAACTATAGAATTTATATTTGTATTTCAGACTGTGGGAGGGCTGGGATCTCTGAAGGAGCAGGCTAGGTTGTCTCACTATGAGTCAAAGACTCCCTGAGAGTTTAGTGCGAGCTCTCAGTAAGGGAGGAAAACTTCAAGTCTTGGCTTGAATTTTGATTCTGATCTTTCATTCAGTTACGGGTAATCCTCCCATGTCTCCATCTTCTATGTAATCATAATCATCTGAATATGTGAGGATGCCAGTCCAGCTGACTAGTTGGGAGGAGAATGGATCTCTCAAAATCCACAATTCCATGTCTCTTAAACACGTAGCCATGCAGGAAGGAGAAGGAAGGAAAAAGAAAGAATAGAAGAAAGAGAATCTCTGCGGCAGTTTTTTAAACCATTAAATCGGCTTTGAAGATAAGTATTATGGTTTCTAAGGCTCATATGCAAAAGTAAAATATTGAACAACTAAACTCAACCCATTAGGAGGCAAAACACTGTCTCTGCAGACAGGTCTAGACATTAAGCGCAAGACTGATAAAAGCAACATTGTTTATCAGGAGACTGAGAAATTGCTCTTAGCTCAGGGCAAACTGCTGTGGAATGCTGATGTTAGATGAGTGATATTAGAACATCTGCCTTAGCATTGGATCGTTTGAATGTCCAGGTGAATGAGTAGGACCTAATAAATACTCTGGTAGAGGGACCTGTCATACTTTTTCTTCTTCATCTTGGTGAGGGGAAATGGATAATTTAACAGAAGCTATAGTCTTACATAAAATGGGATGCAGATACTAACAATTCCTTTTGTATTTGGTTAATGTCTTATCAAGCAGGGTAAAAGATTTTAAATTCCAGCCTGCTAACCACTGACAGTGTGATTTTGTAATATGTACTTGGCAGTTTTCATACATTTGTAGACTATATAATTACATGATAAGAATAATTATCTTCAATACCTTATTTATTATTTACCCTTAGTAAGACAAAAAATTATTTAGCTGTAAGTTTTTCCTTTTCACTTAGTGTATTTTTTTAATGAAAACAAAACCATGAAGTAGTTTGCACCATTTCTCTTTTAAATAAAGTTTCACATATCATAAGATGGCTATTTGCATGTGTTTTTTTCAATTCAAAATTATTTCTCATTAAACTAAGGAGGAAATTGTTAAAAGACTTATCTTTTAGACATTTAGCCATTCTGACTATCTCTGCTATATTTATTAGTGGTAAGAAAACAAAAGAATATGTCTCCACCAATAATATGACTCCTCAAACATTATCTCCTCAAAGATGGCGCTCTTATTCTCAGCTTCATTCTTCTGAGACAATCAATCCTACTTTCTTTTGCACGCACCTTTTCCTCCTCTTACAATGGAGGAAGTGTCCATGCTCCTAGCAGTGCTAGTGTCTCCACTTGGCCCTGGACATCATCTCTTGTTTGCTTAAAGACTTCATCCCCTCAGTTTTCAGTTTATGATATCATCAGTGATATGTGCCATTAAAAATAGAAAGCAAAAGGCTGTCCTCCTCAACTTCTTAACCCCTGATGTCTCTCTTCCTTTAATAGCAGAATGAAAAGAGCTTGGCACACTTGCTGCCTGTACCACCTCATCCAATGCAATCCTTAGTCCATTCCCATGGCTCCTGATTCATTGTGCCCAGCCCCCCACATCTAACCTGCCATTGTCAAGATTAAAACCATGATACTGTTTCCAATGGCTTCTTCTCCTTCTTTATCTTATTCAACTTCTGAGTAAAACTGACAACACCTTCCTTCTGGACACCCATCTCGTCCCTGGCTCTGCAAAATAACTCTCTGACATCCTTTCTTCTTCAATTTCTATGCCTTCTCAACCTCTTTCACTGGCTCTCTTTCCTCTGTCTGCTCTAAATATTAGCATGCCTCAGAACATGCCTTTCCTTTATCTTTCCTAGAAGCTTCAATTATGTCTCCAAAGACTGCATATCCTTTTTTTTTTTGGTACAGGGGATTGAACTTGGGACCTTGCGTTTGCAAGGCAGGCAGTGGAACCACTGAGCTAAATCCCTGGCCAAAGACTGCATATCCTAATCCTTGAATCAAGAGTGTTATCCTTTATTGAGAAAGAGACTTTGCAGGTGTGATTAAGTTAAAGATCTGGAGGTGGGGACTTATCCTGGACAATGCAGATTGTCCCTAAATGTAACTGCAAGTGTTCTTATAATAGATGTGGAAGTGGCCTATATGTCCATGAGCAGATGAATGGATAATGAAAATGTTATTTATACACACTGGAGTACTCTGCTGCTAAAAGAAGGATAAATTTGAGTCATTTATAGGAAAATGGATGCACCTTAAATCCATAAAGTTAACTGAAATAAATCAGACACACAAGCTTAAATATCACATACTTTCTTATATGAGGGAAGGGTTTCTCTTATAAAAGGGAAGGGGACATAGAAAAAATTAAGATACATCATGTACATTTACCATACCCACAATGGATGTATTCATTATGTATTCCAAACATGTACTAATAAAAAAATAAATTTAAAAAGAGAAGAGGCAGGGTGACGTGAAGCAAGATGCTATGCTACTGGCTTTGCAGACAGAGTAAGGAGTCACAATTCAAAGAATGCAAGTTATACAGCTCAAGAAACTGGAAAAGCTCAGGGCCTGAATTCCATTCTAGGGCCTCCAGAAGGAGTATGACCTTGCAGATACCCTGCAACTGACATCAAATTTCAGACTTCCAGAACTGTAAGAGAACAAATTTGTTTCAGCCCTCTTCAGAGTTTATTTCACCCATGTTCAGCCAGTTCATGTTCTTGGGTATAAAGCACATCTTTTTGCTAATAAATACAAGATGCATTTCCCTAGCCCTGACCTTGAGCTGCAGGCTCACAAATCCTACTCAAGCAGGATCACTGCAGTAGTGCCTAACTAGACTCTGTGCTGTCAGTCTTGTCCCAAACACTGTCCACACAGGTGCTGCAGTGTTCTTCCAAAGCTGATCCCACATCATTTTCCTGGTTACCATTTTTTACTGTCTTTCCATGTCACTTTTAATAATATCCAGACTCTGGTGTATAAGCCTGATCTTGTCCATGCTCACCTCTCTAACTTGGATTCTCATCTACTCCAGCTTTTATCAGTTACTAACTGGTGATACCAGTATCAGACTGGCATCAGTCAGCATTTAATAAAGGGAACTCACTTAGTTCAATCTGCTTAGGGAAGGCTTTCCTAGGGAAGTGACACTGAGCTGAGGTCAGGAGAGTAAGCCTCAGACAGGCAAAGAGGCCACTATAGGGAGTGTTTGGAGCAGGGGAAAGCCTGGAGGACACTAGCAGCCTAGCTAATTTAAAGAACGGAGGAAGGAGTACAGTGGCGAAGCTGGTGGTATAGATAGTGGCCATGCTAATTTGGATTTCATCATTTAAACTTTTTAAGCAGAGGAATAATACTGTTATCTGGCCCCAATTTTGTACCACCTGCTTGACATAGCTCATTCTACCCTTAGCCTAATCTTGTTTACCTTTGAGGATAGGATGCCTGTAAACTAGAAGTTCCTCTTCAGGTAGGAGAACTGGAACTGGCTAGATCTAAGATGGCTGTCAGTGTGACTACCAGACAACCTCTGTCATAATTAGTTTTTTCTTGTTGCTAAGACAAAATACTCAACCCAAAGTTAAAGGGGGAAAGGTTTATTTAGTCCGCAGTTTGCAGAGGTTTCAGTCCATAATTGGCTGGCTCCAAGGCAGGGTGGTTTGGCAGAGGGGCATTGCAGAGGAGAAACAGTTCATGGCAAGAGAAGACAGCAAAAGCAACAAGCGACCTTACTAGAGTCTTTCTGCCCCTTTTATCTTATCCAGGCTACTTAGGGTGGATAGCATTCACACCCTTAATCCTAGTGCCCTTGATGTTAGCATTGCACCATGAATCAATTGCTGCAGATCTAGCCAGTTCCTCTAGATCTAGCCACCTCTAAGGTAGTTCCACCTATGATCACATGAGGGTTTGGGGAGACATCTAGATGCAAACCATAACAACTTCTAACTTCATTATATTATCTGCAGGCCAAATGACACACTCCTCGGTGCTATGGCAATCAATAATTTCCATGACTGTGACTGGAAAGAACCATAAGAAGCACAAAAGGTAGTACCTGACTTCCCATAAAAGATATGACTGTTTCTCTCCTTTATTACCCTGTCTCTGGCCCTCGCTGTTTTTACCCTACATCAATAACCCCTGCCACCCAATGGGTTGTTCTGTTCTCCTTCATGGATCAATCAGTGCTGGATCTTGTTACTGGTTCCATGATTTTGAGAGAGAGAGAAAGAGAGAGGCTTTTTATTTTTTAAACAGGAACCCCAAAGTGAATTTTTTCTTTTTAATGGCTTGTACAGCAGTATACAGGACCAGTATACAGGATGGAGCCCTCCTAGACTAAAACCCAAAAGGTAGATGGTGAGTGCTGCTTGTATAGCAGCTGCAACTTGTGTCAGTGAAGGTGCTTGAGTTACTTTCTCATTGCTAGGACAAAATACCTGACACCCACAAGTTAAAGGAGAAGAGGTTTATTTTGGCTTACAGTTTGTAGGGGTTTCAGTCAGCTGGTTCCAAGGCAGGGTGGTATGGCAGAAGGGCATGACAGAAGAGAAGCAGATCATAGCATGGTGGAGGGAAGTAGAGAGGGATCAAGGGTTGAGGAGGGTTATATATACCTCCAGGCCACTCCCACGGTGAACCGCCTCTTCCCACCAGGCTTCACCTCCCAACATCACACCAAGCTAAAAACCCACCACTGGACTAATCTAGTGATGAGTATCACATGCCTATGATCTAGTCATCTCCCAAAAGCCCCATCCATGAGCACATGAGGCTTTCAGGTGACATCTATATATAAGCCATAACAGAGGCCTAGGACTGAAACTAGGGAATCTTCTGAAAGGCTTACTGTGAATGTTGGTTATGCAAATAAAGGGCCCAGGATCCTCCTTTCCTGATCTTACCTACTCCAAGTTGCCCTCTCCATTCTTAAAAAATGCAACAGTACATACCCAGTCACCTTAAAAATGCAACTTCAGACATACTCAGCCTCTTATTTTTGACAAAGGAGCCAACCACCCTCATTGGAGGAAAGATAGCCTATTTAATAAATGGTGTTGGAAAAACTGGATTTCAACCTGCCAGAGATTAAAACTAGACCCATACCTATTACCATGCACTAAACTAAGATTGAAGTGGATTAAAGATCTAAATATTAAGACAAAAACACTAAATTTGCTGGAAGATAAGTTAGGTAGAACTCTTGAAGATATTGGCATAGGAAAAGACTTTATGAACAAAACCTCAGTAGCACGGGAACTAGCACAAAGAATCAACAACTGGGATCTCATCTTATTAAAAAGCTTCCACACTGCAAGAGAAACCACCAACAGAGCTAAGAGATAAGCTACAATGTGGGAAAAAAATTTCAGCAGCTGTACCTTAGACAAAGGACTACTATCTAGAATATATAAAGAACTGAAAAAAGTCAGACCCGCCAAATTCAAAGACCCAATTCAAAAATGGGCATCTGAAATGAACAGACATTTCTCAGACAAAGAAGTAAAAGCAGCAAATAAACATATGAAAAAATGTTCAACATCACTGGTCATTCGAGAGATGCAGATGAAAACAACACTGAGATTCCACCTCACCCCAGAAAAAATGGCTGTTATAAAGAATTCATCCAATAACCAATGCTGGCAGGGGTGTGGGGAGAAAGGAACCCTTCTCCATTGTTGGTGAGAGTGCAGACTGGTGCAACCCCTGTGGAAATCAGTATGGAAATACCTCATAGAACTAGGCTTAGAGGTCCCATTTGACCCAGCTATCCCCCTGCTGGGTATCTTCCCTAAAGAATTAAAAGAATCATACCACAGCAATATATGTGCACCCCTGTTTATGGCAGCACAGTTTGTAATAGCTAAAGCTTGGAAGCAGCCCAAGTGCCCATCAACTGGAGACTGGATAAAGAATATGTGGGGTTTTTTATAAAATGGAGTACTACTCAGCCATAAAGAACGACAAACTAGAGACATTTATAGCTAAATGGATGCATATTGAGGCTATATTCTTAAGTGAAATAAATAGGACCCACATGTGTAAATACCGAATAGTTTCTGTAGTGTGAGAAACTGAAGGTGTAATTAAGGATTAAAATGATTAAAATGAATAATTGATCATTTGAGAAAGGAAGAAAAGGTTCAAAGGGGTAGGGGTAACAGGAGGGGAAGGGGAGAGATCAGAGTTACAGGCTGGAATCTGGAAAGAATACATATAGATTGTGTTTAAAACTATAGGAAGAAATGTAGATAGAGACTAGGCTGGAGTTCATCAGTGGGTTGGGAAGGAAGAGTCACTGAGATCAAAAGAGAGAAGGGTATGTTTCCAGAAGAAGCACATACAACTATGTACAGTACACAGTACTTGATAGTGTGATAAATGGCTATTACTGTTTTAGGTACTTATCATAACATGCTGTGCTTTTCATCCTTTGGAGAGTAATCCTACTTATATAAAAGAGTTTACTGTAAAACAGTGTGCTGCTATGCCAGTGGTAGCCTCATGTATCTCGTGTTTAACTGCGTATTTGGATAATATCAAGGGGCCATCACAGATGATTGATGTATACTTTCTCATTTTGCACTTAGAAGTTGGCACTCAGTGTGGTACTTTGCGATACACACGGATGAAATTGCCTAATGACATATTTCTCAGATTATATTTCCATCACATGTCACATGACTATATTGAAATTGAAATTTAAAAAAGTTTGGCCTATGTGGAGTCTACTAGCTAATTAGAAACTTTTTTTCAGACCACTATTTGTTCAATAATAGTTTTGAAAATCTAAAACAAATCACATCCTTTGATGTCTTGTTAAAGCTTAAGATTTTTTTTTAAATTATATGGAAAAATGTTTAAGTACTTTTCAGTTTTGCTTTGGTTGAGTTCTATTATATTTGAATATTATTACAGTTTTTTCCCTTGCACTGCTCTTCTTTGAATAATTTTAATTTTTGTATATGTGTATGTTTAGTGAATGATAATAAAGTTATGTATATTTTTTAAAATGCAACAGTATCAACTGATGTGGCTGGAATCGAGGAGGGCACCACACTTGCTGACTGGCTACACTCATGTTGGAATAGAAAATGGCAATTTGATAGCCAGGGAGGACGCCATTAGACAGGGAGCTTTTAAAGCTTCCACTGGCACCTGTGTGTATGTGTGGGGAGGTGCGTCCTGCATGTGTTTAAGAAAAAGGTTGGGGCTGAGTTGGGGTATTGGCAGTAAAGAGATATAGCTGTCAGATTTGCTCTATTTAGGAGGGAGACAGAAGAGAAATTGGAAATTAAGTGTGAGGAAAGAGATTAGGGTATGGCAAACTGGTTGAACAAGTGGAAATATGCAGAAAAACAGTTCCTGAACCCCTAGTCCTGGAACCAATCAGAGATGCTATCTCTAACTGTTCTCATGAGAACTCCAGCAGGTTTTTTGTTTTTTGGTTTTTTTTATGATACTGGGGGTGGAACTTGGGACCTTGTGCTTGCGAGGCAGGCCACAGAACCATGCTAGAAGGTTTTTGATAGGCTGGCCTAGGTTAGCCTGAGAAGTGGAAGATACAAAAGATGACCATGCTTAACATTGTGACCACTATGCGCTCTCTTTCATAGTGGTCCATTTTCACCCTATAGAGCAGTGGTGGTGAACCTATGGCATCTGTGTTATTTTTCTTTTAAGACAAAAGATGCTAATATATGAGTTGTTTTTTTCTAAACCAAAACCTCAATATTCAGGTTTAATTTTAGTGTTGGCACTTTGCAATAAATACAGTGGACCTTCCTGACTGGCCTCACATATGAACAACTTGGGTTATGACTGGAATTTTAGTTTTAACTTAGGACCAACCAAAGTCTTGAGTTATGACCCAAATGCGTCTCTCCTGTGTGGAGTTAATTGAGAAATCCTGGGTCAATGTCTAAGGACACTGAGGTCTGCCTGGAAAGAAAGTGTGGCCTAAAATTATACAGGAGAGAGGCTTTAAAGGCTGTGGAGAGGCGCCTAAGTCTTCAACTGACCCTGTGGTTGATGACATTGTCACTATAGCACAGTCCATAGGTTTGCAGGTAGACAGTGGTGATGTTGAGGAACTGGTGGAGGAACACATAGAGCGATTGTCTATGGAAGAACTTAAGATTTTGGGAGCTGCTCAGACCCTCAGATCCCTGTAGGGAGGATGTAGAGGAATAAAAGAAAGAGAGACAATATTTAAGGTACAAAAGGGACTGGGAGAAACTGTCTCTAGTGGACAGGTTCAACAATCTCTAGGGTGGACCAACATTTTTAACCAGCAAGAAGCACAGGGGAGGGAGTAGTGTGCTTTTCCAGAAACAGTGACTGCAGTAAGATTCGGGTAGTAAAATAGGGAACAAGTTTAGCATCTCAAAGGGAGCAAGTTAAGGTCGCCCCCAATGGATGCCGCATTTTTTATTGTCCTCAGCAGATGCTAACTTGCCTCTGGAGCTCTGTGATTGCCCACCCAGGCAGGAAGTCTGCAGCCTTTTGCATACTTTCCTGTTCTGGCCTCAGGACTGCATGGGGCCTGTAGCCTGGCCCCCACCAATCTATATATATCATGGCTGGTCCTCAACATTCAGCATCTTCTGGCTGAGCAACAGAGAACGGCAGCTGAAGAGTTTTCTGAAGAGGAGGGGGAGTATCAACAATCAGTGCAGCGAAGTTCTTCTGAAATAAAAGAAATCTTGAAAAAACAGACAGAGCTACAAACATTTGTAGAGAAGACCACTCAGACAGAGAAAAAGTCAGTCATTGCATTCACTTGCTTAATGACAGTGTTGTATCATACTACAGAATAGTGTTAAAGAAAAGACAGAAATAGACAAGATTGAGATCTAGCAGGTCCTAGTGGGCTACAGATTCTCCCACAGAGAGAAAGGCCACCAGATAGCCAGATTCCTAATGTTCTTATGGGAGGAGCCTCTCCTTCCAAACAGTAACCACCTTCCATTTTATCCTTCCTTCCTGCAAGCCAAAGATAGCAACTTGAATGGTGTTGAGAGCAATTCTACACAATTTGGGGGAAAAATCATTTCACAATTAAATGATGATTAGGCCTACAGACATAACTCCATTTTTGCCTCTGGTCACAGCTAAAATCTCAGTGGTCCACTGATGCTGTGATACTCAGTGCAGGAATTCTGGTAATGTCCCCTTTCCCTGTCCCCTACAGAATGGTGAGTACAGTATGAAGTTGTTATTTCTGGTAAACTAGGCACATTTTATAACTTTTTGGTGAATACACTAGGAAAATTATTGGTATTTCTGGTAAATTACGTACATTATACAACTGTCTTTATTATGAAAAGGTTAGTTAAGGGGTGCTTTGGGAGGTTCAGAATGCATTATGGGCATCTCCATTATTTCTTATGGGGAAAATAGCCTTGACTTACAACCACCTGGAGTTACAACCAGCCCTCATGAACGAATTGAGTTCGTAAGTCAAGGGTCCACTATAAGTAGGTTTAGGTTGGAGTTTGGGCACTCATCTCTAAAAAATTCACTATCACTCGCTATAGAATATACTGGTTTTTTGGTTTTAATTGGTCCACACTGGCTCTGCAGAGAGGGCATGTTTCTTTAGCTATGTTTAATAAATGTAAAACATCACTACCCTTTGTGCTTGTTTTGTCCAATTCTTTGTTCAGGGCAAGAAGAATCTAGGAAGTAACAGTTGGACAGCAGGAAGGCGAAAGTGATAAAAATGGTGTTCCATGGCGCACGAGTAGAAGATGGTTCATTTAGTAAGATGGAAAAGATCGGACTTTGGGTTTAAGGAGCCCATGAGGATTTGTTCTGTGACACATAGAAGTGGAGGGTTGTATAGGCTCATTGAGTATGTGAGCACAAGCTAAGACCTACAAAGAGCAAAGGAGGCAAGTAAGGCAAGCTCCAAGGACCCCTCATGTTTCAAGATCCTGCCTGTTCCAAATGTCGGTGGTCAGACTATTTCCTCCTGTAGTTTTCATCATCCACTTCCCGTGAAGGGTACAAAAACTGCTCTTTGCAGACCCCAACACACACACACACACACACACACACACACACACACACACGCCAGCAGGCACAACTCTGCTGGATTCCCCAGCCAAAGTTTCTAATGGGAAGGCAGAGAAAGAAGGACCTGGTAGCAATAATCCAGGCCTGACAGTTACACAAGGTCCTTATGTCCTTATGTAGCCCCTCCTCATGCAACAACTCATGCGGATCTCCTGGAAGGGTTCAGTGACCCCTCTGCTACCCATTCTCCTTCTACACTGCTCCATTGGCCTTGGAAGGCACCCATTGTTCTTTGACGCTTTTCCAGCTCCCTTTAATCAGATTTCACTATGTAGAAATGTTGAAAGTGGGACAAAAAAGGGGGCTCTCCTGTGCGCAGGTGAAGGGGACGCTTGAAGAAATGATTTCAGAAGTAGTCTGTACCCGGAAGTGGAGGAAAAGGATGGAAAGGGCGCAAGAGACTTTTCAGAAGCCATCAGCGGACTGAACGCTTCACTACCGCCCACCTGAGGGGCGCAGGATGGAGCCGCGCCCACCGCGCTCGGCGTTCTCGCCGTTTCCGGAAATTCCACGCCCCTTTACTCGGTTTCCCGGGATGGCGGGGCGGGAAGCGCTTTGTTCCCGGGTTCTCCCGCCTCCTGGGGCGCGTGAAGCGCGGAGCTCGGGATCCCAAGTCCACTAGGCCTACGCGGGCTGAGGGCGCGGAGGGGATCCGCGGCACCGGTGCGCCCCGGTCTCCGCCCAGCCTGCTGCACTGGCAGCGAGCGTGGGAGCTCGGGAGCTCGGCCAGGCGCCGAGCGGAGGCAGCCAGCCGGGAGCCAGTCGCGCTGGGAGAAGAGACAGGCGGAGGGCGGGGGAAGCTGGGGAGGCCACAAAGGGAAAGCGAAAGCCGAGAGCGCCAGGCCGGTGAAGGCGCCGCACTGCTCTCCGGACGCCAGTGGTACCCGGCCCTTCCCTCGTGGGCCTTCCTGGCCCAGCCCGCCTCGCCGCAGCAATGGCCATCGCCCATCTGGCCACGGAGTACGTGTTCTCAGACTTCTTGCTGAAGGAGCCCACAGAGCCCAAGTTCAAGGGGCTGCGGCTGGATCTGGCAGTGGACAAGATGGTCACGTGCATTGCTGTGGGGCTGCCGCTGCTACTCATTTCGCTGGCCTTCGCGCAGGAAATCTCAATAGGTAAATCCCGGGACCGGAGGGGCGGCCTGAGCTGGGGTGCCATTATTTAGGGCTGTCCTGATCTGGTTTGAGATGATTTTTTGGCGCACTGGCCTGGGCACGCCCCCGGGAGTGCTCAAAGCTCCAATGAGCATGAAGGTTGGGAAGAAATGAGGCCTCGGTTTTGAGTCTCATGTGCATCATTTGTCCCGTTAACATCATCACTTCTCAGTTCTTTTGTTGTCATTGTCGAACTGTGGCTTAGAGTTCTTGTCCTATACTTCTAACTTTTGCCCTTGCCACCAGATTTGCCAAGAACACCCGTCTCCCCTTTTTCCAAGCCCCCTCCCAGTATTTGGCTATTCACCTGAAATTTTGTACCAGAGAAGTTCCCGAGTGGCTGAATGGAGTGAAGCCAAGTGCTCCATGAAAAGTGTGTTCCCGGTTCTGTGTATTATTTTTGATACTTGCTTCAGTTCTGAAGGATTGTGACTATAGGAAATAACTGCATTTGACAGGTATTAGAGAGATCCTCCACTTGCACACTTTGTTGTGAATGTGCGATGAATACCCTTCATATACTCATTGCAACTAAACAGTTCTGTGAGGTTCTGTGTGGTGGTTTGGGAAAGATCAAATGTCTGTGGCAGGTCTTCCTCATCAGCTGTCCTGACTTTCAGCACAGAAGTGGAGTGTGCCTGAATCAACTGGAAGGTAGCATAGGAGGGCTATAACTGTTCTGGAGGTGGGGCGAGGAGAGGCCAGTGGGGCTCTGTGATGATGAACCTTAAAAGACCCAGTGCCAAATTGCTGTAGGGGACAGGGAAAGGATTTTTCTACAAAATTATGTAGAATTGCTCCCAACATAGCTCCCTTTCTTTTTGTTTTATGTTAGTGTGTTTTTAGGAAAAGCGAACACACCCAACAATGGCTTGTCTGTATGGATTGTGAGGACCTATAGTGTGTTTTACTGGTTTAGCTGTCTATACTAAGCTCTTTTTCAAAGGGCTATCCCCAACTACGGTTAGGGGAGAAGGGGTACAGGTTTCATCTAACTGCTTCAAGCTGACAAGGGTGGATGCAGGGAAGACCAAAGTCAGGGACCCCTTCTAGGGAGCTAATTTAACAGGCCTTAAATAAAAATCATGTTATAAAACTTAGCAATAAAAAACTTTTTATAGGTCTATCTAGTGGTTCTTGGTAAAAGAAAAGTCTAGCACATTTGTTATCGATACTATCTGTAATATCGCTTGGAGTTTGGCAATCCATAGGCAAGAATAAGCAAAACATTTTTAGAGATTACAACATGCATAGTCAAGGTATAAGCACTAAAAAAATTAAAAGGGTAGTTTGGGGAAAGAGGAATATTTAGAAACTTTTTAAGACACTAAAATAGTGAATGTAACTTGTTGACTCATAGACCCTCCACTAAATGGATATTATCTATAAGTCAGATACTTTTTTCATAATTTCTCAATTTTTGTAAAAGATTAAAAATTTAATTATTTTTTTAAAAAACAATTTTAGCTAAAAAAACTTAAAACTTCTTGTTGAACTTGTATAAATTTTATCTTAGTTATACTTTTCTACTGGGTGTTTGAGACCAAGTTATGGTGAGATCTATATTAAATAAAATTAGCCTCTTGCTAGCTAACAAGGTCAGTTAAGTCTCCTCAGGCATTATCTTGGAATCATGCATGGAGCCTCTTAGCTCTTCTGTCAGTGTCAAACATCAGGATATGTCATGGCCTTGCTTGACCATGTTTCTGCAAAAGCGTGGGAGGTTTTTTCATCCAGGTAACACTCCTTTGGTACGCTTTTTTGTTGAGTCTTATTGTTTTGGTGACCAGCAATCTCCCTGTTCAGGAAGTTGGGTGACTCATCAGAGATGTAAGATCTTGTGGATAAGGTTCCCTCATGTCCTGGATCTTTTTGTTGTTGTTGTTGTTATTGACCTTGGAGGGATAGGGTCAAAATATTGGCTGTCTTCTTTAGCCTAGTTATCTTTCTAGTTTTAGTCTCTAAACTTTAGTTGTTGAACACTCAGAAGAGAAGATCAATAGCATTAGCATTGTAATAGGAGTAGTGAACTTAACTATTAAAATTTTACCTGAATATTAAGCATTTTGGAATGAAAATATACTTAGGAGACTGTTAGTATTGCCAATTGTGGTTCTAATGGTTGGATCCCCGTAGAATGTTAGCAGAAAAAGGCTTTAAGTCAAGGACTACACATAATATTTTAGCATGACAATTTTGAAGGTATTATCTTTGTAATACACTTAAATGTGTATCTTAGTATAAAATAGCCATTGATAAATGCACTCATCCTCCCTAAAAAAACGCATGAAAAAAGCTCTTACTTAAGTAGCACTCTTTTGACAGGATGCCATTGAAGGAAAATATATTGGCCTACAAATGTACCTGTTGTCATAAGCGACTGGAGCATAAGAGAAAGGCAAATATCTCAATTAAAAGAAAGTTATTACCATAAATAATATGTTGGAAGACCCGTACATTAGAAGGCATGAATACATTTTGTACACCAGAAAAGTAGCAGTAATAAGTATCACAATTACACAAAACCTTCTGTCCTTCAATGTAGTTTGGCACCACAAGCATCTTTTTAATAACACCTTTTTGTTTACCCCACAGAAAATTAATCTTTTGAAGATGACCAATGTAAACATATCACAATAATATATTTAGAGCTTAACCAATGTAAACATTTTATAATACCATATTTAGAACTTAATCCTTTGATGATAACCAATGTAACCAATTTATAATAACATTGAAACAATGTTTGTTAGGGTGTATCTCCCATAAGGTTATGAAAATTATTGGGGGTCCCATTAGTGAATAATGACCAGAATAATTATTTTCTGTCCAGCTGCTCCTTGATTCACCAAGTTAGCAGTCCTCTCAAACCTAAGGGTCTCTATTTACTTTGACAAACAAAACAATTTTTATGTTTATAACTTGGAAAAACCATATTGTAACAATTAATACATTATTTGTAGCCAGTAAGAATTTTTTGAGTTATTGTATGTAAGCAACAATACACATTACTTTTATAAAATAAATCTTGGCATCATTTTGATCAGCTATCAACCTAGGGGAAGAAGGGCATGCCTTTAACTTAATAACATTTATCTGTAAGCCAATTTAATTATAAGCAAATATCTTTTATGAAAAAATTTCAAAAGGTGAAAAAGAAAAAGAAAAAAATTGTTGAGCTAAAACAAAACAGCTGTATAATTGGACAAATATATAAGACAATTAATTTATAAAACTAGAGTGCACTCAAATATATTTGGCCAAATTGAATTATAATATCCTTTTTATGATTGTTAGGTTTATAATTGTATATATGGCTGGTTAAAACTTTTTGTAGGTCAGTTAACAGATTGTTTGTTTTAAACTTGCCCCCCGCCTTTTTTTAACCATAAATCTATTTTTGTTCTTCCTCTGTGGGTAGTGCCTTGGCCCTGGACCTTGAAGTGGATTTGTTGGTCACTGTAGGTGAGGTGCTCAGGAGCAAGTGGCTCGTTGCTCTCAGCAGGGGGTGCTATTGCCTGTTCTTCAAGATGTTGGAAATAATTCTTGGGTATGATTACATCTCAAGGAAACTATTTTTGCAATTTGCTTTAGATATAATTGTACAGATTTTACTAACTGGTTAGATAAAAATAACCATTCCATGGGAAAGACCTGTTTCTCATACCACTGTCCTGTTAAACCTGTAGCTGAATAGGGGGTGTTAAGCACAAACAAATGAACCAGATTTAGAGTTAATACGGAAAACCCTGATGGTTATGTATGCTTTGTTCCATTAATTGTAACTCCTTTTATGCCTCTGGAGTTAATTTTCAAGGGGAATTAAGATCAGAATCTCCCTGTAATATTTTATACAAATTTAGATATTAAAAAGTTGCTAATCAAGGTTGGTCAGTCGGCCACAAAGGAATGTTGAAGAAGCAGACTTTTAAATCTATAACTGTAAGTGGCCACTTCTGGGGAATTGCTACTGGCTTTGGTAAATCAGGTTGCAGTGCCCCCATTGGAATGAGGCTCACATTAATTGCCTATAAACCCTGAAGCAAACACCATTTGCATGACCTTTTAGGAGAAACAAAGACAGGTGTGTTCCAAAGGCTCACAGATAGTTCTAAGTACCCTTCTTAAGTTGTCTTAATATAAATTGCCCTAAAATGGTTAGTTTCTCCTGTGTTAGGGGCCATTGATCAACCCAAATGGGGTCATTTGATTTCCATTGTAAAGGCAAAGCTTCCTTGGGCAGAGAGACTTCTTCAATACCCCCAACTAAAAAATTTAATCTTATCCAATTCCAAAGTGATTATTTTTCTGTTGCTGTTCTATAAGCTGCATTCTGCCCTGAAGTTGCTTGCCTAATCCTTTTCCCAGTTCATATCCCATTTTAGACATAATTTGTTGAACTGGTGAGGTTTCAGGGGGCAAAGTAGTCACTATAACTCTCCATTCTTCCAATAAATCTTTGCCCCACAAATTTACAGGTATGGCAGCTATGTAAGAACAAATACGTCCCAGTTGATCATCAGGCCCTTCATAAGGCAGGGTATTGGATCTTTGTAAAACTTGCTGAGGAGCACCAAGGCCTACTAGAGATGTTTTAGCTGGTTTTTTGCCCCAAAACGAAGGCCAGAAACACATGCCAGTGATGGACATGTCCATGCCTGTGTCTATCAGCCCTGTTAAGAATTTGCCATTTAATTTAATTTTGCACATGGGCTGGTTTTTTGAAATCTCTTGGATGAAATAAACCTCTTCTTGAGGAATTTCTGTCTGAGAATCCTCTCAGGAATTTTTACAGCTAACATTATTTAATTTTCGTTTAGGCAAGAGCAACAACAATAATAAAAGCAACATAATCTCCTTGTTCAATTACCCAAAGTCCTGTGGAGCTAACAGAAACCACAATTCAGAGTTACAATCAGAATCAGTAATAGCTGGAATAACAGTAGTGCCTTTCAAAGACA